CAGGGATTACACAAGTATTATCTAATACTGAGGTCCCTCCCAGCCCCTTTTTTCTTAATTCTGTCATCAGCACTAATCACCCAAAAAGTTCTCCTCATTGATGAAGATGTTTCTGTGGATGGAGGGGAAATGGGAAACTGTAAGGAGGCAGGCCAGGCATATACAGATAAGGATGCTGGGTGGCCTCTCTAAATGCTCTGTTGAATCATAGGTAAAGCAAGTTCATTGATGCTGTACATTCATCAGCCCTGCTCTGTGCAGCCCTCACTAACTGCAGGGAACAGCACTGCCTGCAGTGAAAACAGCTGAAGGACACGTGGATTAATAATGGACCCTTAAGGGTGACATGAGCACTGTGAAACAGTAAAGAAAGCAAAACAAAAACACAGACACAAGATCCTGGTATATCAGATCTGGGGAAATGACACTGCTGGAAGTGTTATATGCAGTGGTGGCTCTGGTGCCAGGGAAGGGTAACCAGGGAGCTGACATGCAGGGGGAGGCTGGCAGCCTCTGTTACAGCAGAACTGGCACAGGAAAGCCACTTCAGTTTTCTCTAATGGAAAAAATCAGGGTAGCAATGTGCAGGTTTTTCAGTTCTTCCTAACTATAAAGGATAGTATATATATTTCTGGTAAGGAATGGGAAAACATCCTGACCCCAGAATAAAGCCAGCATAACAAGGTTAGCTATTTAGACACATGCATCATTATTTTATCACACTCAGCTTCACAGAACTACAGCAGTAAGAGGCCTGCAGATCTCACAGGTATACCTTGGATGAATAAACTGCCTTGCTGTTTGGACAGTCACGGAGAAGAGACACATAAAATTCTGTTGGGATGTCTCCGAACGCTGGGATTTTGTACATCCCAGGCCCTCGAGTGTACAAGTTCCCTTCAGGAGAATAGCGCAGCTCCTCCATGGTGAAGAGCCCAAGGCCTTGGACAAATGCTCCTTCTATCTACAAACACATCCAAACAAGGTTACATTTTTTTGTTGTTGTTCTTCCCTGCACAAGAACAAACAATGATGATTTCCACCGGAGTTTTCAGCCCTCCCCTCCTGACTAACTTCCCACTAAAAACCCTTGTCCCTTCTGCTCAGTACAGCTTGGCACCTTTGCACAATTTCTGTGTTCCCATATAGATGTGGCTGCATTTCCCTGGCAGGTGAAGCAATTTACAAATACACACAAACAGATATGCTGTAAACACAGGACAGGAATTTTCTGATGAAGCAAGGAAAAAAAATCAATGCCAAAATATTGATTCCTTCACAGGCAGATTAACACTGAATGAGTTGTACTTGCTGGTAATTCAAAGGACAAGACAACTAAAAGAACTGAAGATGACATATCTGAAGACAAACTATTTTATGCTTTCTATTTCAGTATAAATGCTTTCCTAAGTACTGCATATTCTCCGGTCACCAGCACAGACACCTGCAAAAACACTCCCATATCCATTCAAGTACTAAAGACTTCTTTGCATAATTTTTCTACTGTAAATTTTAGAAGAAAAATAAATTTAAAAAAAGGGGAGCAGCTATGAGAGAAGGATGTGCTTGAACAACCCTACATGAAGAAGTTCTGCTCTCTGTGCCCACTGAGAGATCTGACAGGCAGACCAGTCTAAAGATTTGGCACAAACATTCATTAACCCAGCCCTGTGTACTTGTGTTCCTGCAGTCATACAACATCCTTTCTCTCCTGTGCTCCCAGATCCTCTGCAGCAATTCATGGAAGGACACAGGAAATTGAGATCTCTTTGACAGGCTCTGTATAGCCCATCTCTTTACTCCCAGACCCAAACGGCCAGGCTGCGAAGACAAAAAGGCTCCTTTCTCCCCTTGGCCACTTCCAAAAAAGTCTCTTTCAGAAAAAATGTCACTTTCAAAGAAATTTCATTTTAACTATAGAAGAGCTCTGCAACTCGTGCCCTCCTGTAAACTCCAAATCCTGCAGCAGTTTCACTTGATTTACACTATATCAACACCTAGAGTTAGCAAGGGAGCATGTGCAAATGTCTAACGATTCATCTCTTGGTATATCAAACAACCCTGTGTTTATTACCTTCATTTGCTGAGAGGTATCATTGTGAGTATTCCTGCACAAAATATGGAATTAAGCTTGTCCCTGCCCAAGGAATTTTCAAGCTAAGTGGCCAGTCCAACTTTCTGTTGAGATCCCTACACAGCAGCAGCTGGAGGACAGAATCTACTGCCCTAACTCTTTATTCACAGAACAATTTTCGCTGAATTAAACGGGACTTGATATTGACAGATAGGAGTATAAAAATCAGGTGTGGGATTTAGTCTCACATGCCACATTGTAGAAACTAAGCCTGGGATGAGGTTATTCCATCATATTAGTATTATCTGGATTCATTCCTCAGGCAAGACAGGTGCTGAAAAGCATCAATGTGGTGGTAACTGGAGAATATCCTGTAGTCTTAATATCCAAGGCAAAAAAAACCCAGCATGATATTTCCCGACATAATTCTGTGCCTATTGCATAGTTAAGTGTAGGTCAAACAGGTTTTCATAGCTAGCCTAAAATGCCTTACTGGATACCCCAGTTTAAAATCCTGTTTGCAAAGGCACAACCTGGAGAGGGATAATGGCTTATCTAGAAAAGCCTGAGAGTAGCGTGATCCCTTTAACATGGTGGAAATAGCAACACTATTTCACTTACCTGTCCTATATCTATGGCTGGGTTCAGACTGGTACCAACATCCATAACAATGTCTGTGCGAATGTTCTAAAAGGTAGAAATAAAGAATAAATCAGCACAGAACATTGAAACTGGTACACCATGGTCTTGTATGAGGAGCAGCAACGTATCCAACCACTACCCACACTTGGCCAGTGTTCAACAATCTACCTCAGCTCAACTCTTCATACTGACTTTTAATCTGAGTTCATCCCTAAAGTAAATCGAAGGAACTCACTGCAGTTTTCCCCAGAGATCCAATGGACCCAATTTATATTAGTTCCAAGCTGCTAGCGTCAGTGCTCTGTACTTGAGCATAACCAACTAGGTCAGATTCTGATGAAATTTTTCTTTTTTCTTTCTTTCTAAAAGCCTTCAGTGCTATTTTTAATGATTAACTCAATTCCAGTATGTTTCTGTTCTTTTGTGCTAACACAGTGCTGCTATCTCTTACTTAAGCAAATCCCATAACTTTTGCAATCATTCATTAAGCCTCCTAATATCCCCGCAGGGTAGATAATTATCATTTTATTATACTTTATGGATTGTTGCACCGTGGAACAGAGGAGTTAAGAAATTTACTGAAGGTCACACCAGACCAATGACAGAGCTAGGAACAGGCTGACACCCAGTATTTGTTCTAACTCCCTGTGAATGTTTCCTTCACCTAAACACAGAGGGCTATTTCACTGCTGACCCCCTCACCTTGTGGTCACCTGTTAGGCAATCTATCTCAACCTCAGAGCAAGCAACACCATAACTGAAGTAGCAGAATGGTTTCCCTTCGTTCTTTTCAAAGTCGTAGCCAAGGTCAGGAATTCTTGATACAAAGAAAAACAAAACCATATTTCATTCCATGAACAGTCACAATGAATACAAACACATTGCAACTTATCGAAATCCTTATTCACTTTTGTTTCATCCCTTCATCCCATCCCTTCCCCTCCCCATGCAGAAATGAAAAGTGTAAACAACTATAAATAGAAATCTGCTAAAGCTGCTCTGTATTCCAAAACCCGACTGAAACTATCAAACTATTTTAGCCATCTTTATTTTCCCATGAATCTCGGGGCTTGTGATGACTATTATGAACTCATTCCCACCACTCCAGTAGCAAATCATTTGCTTTTAGAGCGCAGTTGAACATTTGTTGGAGGTCATTAAGTTTCAGAGCATAATCAAGTTGAACCAGAAATTGGATTAAGCTAAGAACTGATTTTAAGCACAGCTCATGGCAAACTTTGTATCTGGCTACTTATACTTTATCTGAAAACTGGTTTATTAAAATACTGACAGTCACTTGGTTAAGAGAAAAAACATTTCAGAGATGCAACAGAAATGAGCTAATATTGTATTTTAGTCCTAAACAGGCTCTTATCAACACTGTGTTTAGTTTATGTCAATCCCTCTTGCCCCAAAGATGATGGATCTCTGTTTTCCTCCAGCAGTAAAGCTGATGAAGAAAAGTGCCTCATTTCAGAACTGCACAGGAACCAGCAAGAGTTTAAAGTGGGAACATGAAATTGAAAACAGTAGTATCTGCTCATGCCACAACAGACAGGATACCGCGCTCCAGCCAATTGCCATAAGTAGCTTTGTCCTCAAGGACAACACCTGCCCCCTTTTTCCCTGCATGACAGTTCTAGTGCAATGCTAAGTCACGAGACTGACACAGAGCAGAGCCCCAGGCAAAGCACTGATTTCATTTACGCCTCCTCAGACCTAGGTCAGCTAGACTGAAGTTAGATCTACTTCAGATTTACATGAGATCTGAACTTGGCCCCAAGAGCTGTGCTCCATCAGGAACCGATTCTCCCCAGTCAGGAGAGTGTTAACCTCAGCTTAACATTTCCAGGTAGGAAAGGAATGCAGCCCTAAGTTAGAACAGTGACAGAGGGGTAGAGCCTGTAAATCCTCCCAGAATTTCCCTGGATGCAATCCATGCAATCGAGTAAGAGCTGTGCCTCTGCAGTCTGAATATTCACTCACCTATAAAACCCAGTGGCCGACAGGCTAACACAGTTCTCATAGGCAGCTTTAATCTGGCAAAGTGAACAAGAGTTTGAAAATAGTAATTGTCCAACCAGTCCCTGCAAAATAGCTACCCCAACCACATTTCCAGGAGAGCATGAATAGAAGGTGTCCAGTGACAGACAGCTGTCACACTACCCAGCACCAGCAGTGCCAAGGGAAACATCATGATGCAGCTGCTTCCCCAAATAGCCCCGTCATCAGCTACCAAGGGCAGAACTTGCCCATTGGCAGAGGGATAAGACTTGCTCTTGTTTGTTCGGCTCTCAGCTACAGGTTAGACTTTCAACCTCAGAGACAAAGGTTAAACTGACAGTCATCTTGACTTCAGTGAGGCCAGGGGAAGTCCTATCCTGACTTCCAAATCTCAAAGTCAAAGCTCCTCCCATGAAGAGAAGAGCTTGGATTTGAAAATGGCCTGACAGCCTTACAGCACACCAATCTATTATTGAGGGTACAGATATATTGCAGCCAAGGAGCACTACAGGAGGTGGATGGCAGCTCAACAGAGTCATCTTTGTCACAGAATCCCTTCACTACAAAATCAGGTTTCTTCCTGTCCAAGACTGTAGCCTGACTAGAAAGATATATGTAACTGCTCAAGACTTATTTGGTCAAGTTTGTCATAGGCAGGCCCCAGGATCTGGAGAAGTCTCAGTACTGAAGTCATAAGTGACGTTTTGGGGATGACCTCTTGCAAGCTTTGGTTACTTCCCTTGCCAGGTTTCTGTTTCACTGTCTTTGCTCAAATCTTTGCTAGTGAGATGCAGAAGGCCTGGAGGGTATACCTGCATACAGGGTTTGCCAATTAAAACAGTCTCTGACAATGCCCACTTGTCTTGTGACAGATACAAACAGCTTACCCAGTCTTCCCAGGATCCTTTGGGATTAGACTGCTTGATCGGCTCAAGTCTTTTTACGATAGTCTGACACGCGTTCTAGAAACAAAGAGAGAGAAGCAATATTTTAAGATCTGAGAAGTCAACTTATAGTATTAAAAGCCCTATAAGAGTTTCAAAGAACCTTCTGTTTAAATCAATATTGCCTTTAGGACTTTGGCATATCATAAAAAGGAACAAAGTTCACTAACAGATGTCTTGCTACATAGGAAGAAATGTTGACTGAAAAGGATTTTAAAGCAGATTGCCTGTGCTAATAGCAGAAGGGAATCCCAAATACAGCACAGAAGTTTCCAGACCATGACATGAAACATCAGAAGTCCACCCATTTATACAGTAACTTTATCTGTATGAAGTCATAGCAGGACATCTTAGCATATCTAGCAAGATGATCCTATAACACTGAAAAAAAAATTCTTGCCAAAATTCAACCTACTCAGACAAGCTCTGCAGAGAATAAAAACAGCCTGATGATTTTACTTTACAGGTTACAATTCCCCTTTTCTTTAAACCTGAGAATGACCAGTACTAAGTTCCTCTTTTCAATGGAAGAGTCACATACTCTCCAAATATATGCATTGGTAACTCCACCATGTCAGAGACAGTCATGACCATGCCACTGCTACAGAAGGATGTTTGCTCTGAGTGTATCAACACTTAGAGGTCTTTGGTTCTGGAGCACAGCCCACAGACCATCTGCTATTAATATTTGCAGCACAACATATTTGTTATAGATAAGGCCACATTAATTATTAAATACTAAGAAGCTAGCTATTCAAATGGATGTTTTGTTCTGTTCATTTTGAGTAATCACAAACACTCCATTTTAGAACTACAAAAGGACAGAAGGAGAGTTTTGAACTACTTGAAAAAAATACGGTCATTCATCATCTACCACCACCAGTAGTTATAGCAGGTAAAGAAGTTATGAGGTACCCTTAGCCTGGAACTGCCTTTTGATGGTTATGTTTTCCTTAAGCAATAGATAAATACACATCAACTTTTCATGTTCTGGAGTCCTGACTTATAACCCACTAGTTTAAATAACTCAGTTTCCGTACATGGACAGCCATTCCATTGATGTCCGCACTGACAGATGCGGCTGTCGGGGAGGTATTTGGGACAGTGTTTGTGCTGGTCTCACTGATGTAAATTTTGGAGGTGGGGATTCCCAGTGACCTGCTAGCAACCTGCAGAGGAAAGGTAAACAATTAGTAAGCAGCTCTTCTTATACCTGAGCATTATCATTCATTGCTTACACTGCTAGGATCCACACTGCAACCTCTACCCTCTCCTGTCCTAAATTTCATTTTTCTTGAAGGCTCAGTTGATTCAGTGACTGAGAGCTAGCCAGAACATTGTTAAATTTGCCCTTCTCAGACTGAATGTGTGAGAGCACATACACGTACACTTTTGCCACAATGACAGATATTCACTTCACTGTTGTGAGACTAAATTCTTCTCTCAACAATTATAGGAATCAGAAGATAAAGAGCCCTTTTAGATCTCCCTTTCATTTCCCTGCCAAAGCCATGTTGCTCCCTTAGGCCTTTTTAACTACAAAGGTGTTAGCATATGCAGATAAATACATTTGCAATACGACTAGTTTTTGTGTAAAATATATGTAAACTGTAGTTTTATGGGATGAAATTGAACTACCAAAGAAGCTAGATTGTAAGCATAACCTGCATTATCTACATAAGAGTTAAGATGATGAAGAATCTAATCCTCATACTCAATTGTGATAATACTCTGGAAATCTAGCACTGCTGCTGAAACAATTAAGAGGAATTAGTCATGATTTGTTACCCTACGCATGCACAGAAAGGAAGTGTCAAGCTGTCTGAGGCAATACCATAGAGTGAGAGTAATTTTACTGAAAAGATGTCTCGTTTGGTTAAGTCCAAACTCATTATTACCTGAATCATTTTGGTGTGAAGTCCTTGACCCATCTCAGTCCCCCCATGTGTAAGTAATACAGAGCCATCTGTATACACATGGATCAGAGCTCCAGCCTATAAAAGGGAACATTAATCCAAGAGTCACCATAAATGAACTAGTGAAGTACTTAGAAGATTTCAGTTACAAACTACAGAGAAAATTAATTTGGAACTCAACCAATATTGTTATTTGGTGTAATTAAAGCCACTAGTTCACACTTGAGGTCAGCTTGGTTTAGTCTCAACAACTCACTAGAAGTTCCAATGACATAACAAACCTCAGTCAGTATTTTCAGCTCAGAAAGCAGGTGAAGTAACCCAAACCTGCCCCCGTGAAACAGAGATGCACCCTTCACCTGAACTTGCTAACACCACTGACAGTCCATCAAGTCAGGTCAAACAGGAACAGTGTTTCAACTATTGAGGAAGAGGGAATAGGCAGGGAAATTAACACAACACAATACCACAGAAACATAGCTGCATTGTGGTGTCTTTTGGACGGTATAAACTGTTAACTATTGTGTTGCTCATTTTGGTTTGAAAAATGCTCTTTCTTAACTAATTTACTACTCTGAAAAGCTCCAGTCTGGTACAAAGGGGGGAGGGCCTGGGGGAGGCAGCATAAATCTAGCTTCTCTACTGAAAAGATGAATGACACTTACGGACCTGGTTCAGAAATGGGATAGTGAAACTGATGCCAAATTTGGTAGGAATGACGCACATCCCTCTCTTCTTCCAGCGATTCTGCCTGCAAGGAAAGAAGGTTATTTGTATATTCATGCGGCTTTCATCACAACTCAATACTATACTTCCCTCCAACAGCTTGGGTAGGTATCAAAGCAGAAATGAAATACCTGAATGCAATATAGACTGAATTAATCAGTAATTTCTGTGAAAGCTTTGCTTTGTTTATGGGTCCCAACAAGAAGAAATCTGAACTGAAGATGCTCCCCCAGGCATTATAGAAGCAATTGCCTGGACTATTAACTATTCAGTTGTATATACGAGCCAACTAAAAAGACTATAAGGCAGTGGAAAGCCTAAACAAATTGCCTTGATAGCTATTTGAAAAGCCTAGCTGGACTTAACAGACCCCCTCTCCTTTGCTACATTTCCCTTACAAAGTCATGTCATGTTAGGTCTGATTCCTGCCTTATTTAAGCTACCAGTTCACTAATAGAGATTTCTTCCCACAGTGAGCATGAAGGAATTTCAAAAAAAGAAATTTAGACATCGCTCTGCAAATACAAGGTCTGATTTCACATCACTCAAGTTGCTAAGAGAACTTCAGAAGTTAGTAGGCAACAGGTGCACCCAGTAACAAGACAGCTCTAGAATACCTACTTGTTGAATTCTTCAATTAGTTTCTTCCTGGCATGATAGCTAGAGCTTGACAAACATTCATCCCAGCATCTTTGTAGAGTAAATCCCTCCAGCTTTTGGTTAAAATGAGTCAGGTCTCCTTCATTATAAAGATTGAGCCTCCGCACCTTCCCAAAGAGACATATAAAGGACACGCCAAGTTTAATGCTTCAGACTAGGTCTTTTTAATAGATGACATCAAAAGCATGTTGGTTCCTAGTTTTACTCCTCTGCTCACTCTACAGAACAACAGAATTAACAGACATATATCTGTTTACGGGAAAATGGGAACTGAGACATTAAGGCTGGGAATTTTCAAGAGAGGTTGGGACTTAAGCACATTGTTAGTAAGATTAAGGTACCTAATGCATTTGGGCTTTTTTTTTTTAATATCTATCCTTAAAGTAGGTGTTACACAATTGAGGCTACTGAGGGAATTTAATGAAGCAGAAGATAATCCATGCTATAATGTGGCTGTCATACAGAAAGTTTGAGATCCTGCTAAGGGCTTAGCAAAAATGAAGCAAAAGTTCTTATGCTTAATAATTTTCTGTGGTTGTGTCCAGTTCTCAGAGTTTGTTCAAAGGCAGCACTGCCCTGAAATGTGTCAGTGGATCCATACCTCCTCAGGTGGCAGGCCACACTTCCGAGCAAGGTCACTCATCCAGCACTCAGCAATCATCATTCCTTGGGGCCCTCCAAAGCCACGGAAGGCTGTGTTGGAAGGCAAGTTGGTCTTGCAAACAATGCCCACGCTGCTGACATTGGGAATGTTGTAGGAGTTATCCAAATGTAACAGGGCTCTGTCTATAACCTGGTGAAAAGAAGGAATGGGGGTGGACACATTTTACATGAATCACATGTCAGACTTCTTACTAGCTGCCAAAGCCAGACTGGAAAGCTCTGAAACTAATGTACAATAATAACCAGCACTTTCTCTTGCACCCTGCAGTCAACATAGCTGGATGAACGCTGAGGTGCAGCCAGTACTCCCTCACATTTGCAATGGAGTATCAAGCGGTATCCTCCAGAAGGACAGGACAATAAGCACACTCGTCTGTTGACACTTATGACCCTAGGACAGATTGAGCTTCAAAGTCCTTTGTTGGCCCTGGGCTCATGCTGAGCCAAACTGCTACTAAATGCCATTACCCACCTGGAAGAACCAGAACCTTCTTTTAATTATACTGAGTAATCTGTTACTGGAAGAGAAGTCTTGCTGACATCAAGTGACTCAGCAGCTGGGCTGTGGCAGTAAGGACAACTATATGAAATAAGGATTTTTCAATAGCTACATCTAAACTGCAAGATTTGAGATCTTTGTCCACTAATTGTCCAAATCGGGAAAGGGCCAGGGCTTCTTTCTGGCTTGTGTTCCCAGATTTCCCTTCCAGCAGCAGCACAGACAGAAAAGGAGAGGTTTTTTACTCATGAGAACAAAAATTCTTGGAAGCAAACTCAGAAGTCAGGCCCATTCTTGTCCTTAGTGCTTATGAACCAAATGTTAGCTTTAGCCAGTCCTTAACAAGCTTGTTGATTTAGGCACTCTGCCCTGATCAGCCTATTGACTTGGATGTTTCTTATTCCAAGGAACTAGCTTTCCCCAAAGCTGAGGAACTATCAGTCACCTTGCATTGTGCAACAAGTTTCCCATCACAGCCCTCTAATGCAAAGCAAACTTTCTTGACCCTTTTACCTAATCCAAGTTATTACAGCATCAATAAGAATTACGTAGCACATGCCAAGGCAGGTCAGTTGGCTGAGAAAGCAGTTGTAGGAGCTCCAAAAACCCATCAAGGTCTGTTTTCAGTCATGTCAGAGAGCAGGATGTGCAAGCAATACTGTAGACAACTCTCTGAAGTCAGAGCGAAAGGTTGCACAGGGAAGTGTCTTCTGCCTAGTTAGCCATCAGAAAATTTTACTTACACCGTAAGAGAGGTCTACAGAGTTGCCCCCATTGCTGTAGTATGACACCTCCAGACTCTTGACTTTCCCATTCTTCATGAAACCAACCTGTCAAGAGAGTCTCCTCAGTAATCTGTTTTCTACAAAGTGTTCTGTTTTGCGCTTCTCTCCAAAAACTGAATGGACCTCATACAGGCAAAAGGCTGACTGTCCTCTGCTGCAGCATAGGACAAGCACAGGCAGCAACTGAGGAAGCTTCCCAGTAAAGGGTCTATATATGCATCTTAATCTTGCTCCAGAGACCTCTTCTAAAATAAGTATTGGCCACTTGTCACAGCCACACCTTCCTTAACAGGTTTTTGCTCTGAAAAGCAGAAGCAGTTGGATGGGGATTGAAGAGGAAAGGAAGTTAACAAAATAAATAGTAGTACAATACTGTAAACAAATGGGGAAGCATCTAAGAGCAATGTGATTGTCAACAGGGGCAAAGTCTTGGTTGCAAGGAGGAGGGAAGTTTTTATGCTGAGGTCACAAGGGAACCGTCTGAGCCAAAAGAACTTCTGCAGGACTTGAACAGGAAGAATACTATAACCCAGCTGACCTGATCTGTTTGCAGCAGAGGACATCAGCAGTGAAACTACCAGAGCAGCAATTTTTTCACAATATCTTACTACGTGGATATTTCAGGTGACAACACTGAGACAACATGCATTTATTTCATATGTATGCATACCTTGTACCTCCCCAGGAAGGGATGTCTCCCACCACTTATCAGCATGTCCTCATCTCGATCCAGCATGCACCTTACTGGGCGGCCAGTTCTGTTAAAGGATACATTTATCAGGCAAAGCCTGAAATGCACAATACAGTTCCTACACAGCAAGACTCTCCTCTTTTTGGTGAGCATTGTCTCTCCAGAGTGGCAATGGGGAGTTAGGGGTAAACTGCTTGGTTTATACATCTTCCTCTTAAGAAAATGGCAAGACTGAGTTAAAAAAAAAATTAAGCTCTTAGAAGTTGGGACCTGTTTGTGAAAACTCTTGTGGAGACTCTTATGTTAAAAAGGATAGTTTCTTACAGAGACCAATGCTAATAACTGAGCAATCACTGTTTTCTGGACTATTTCTCAAGGCACTCTCTTGGCTTTGCAAGAGAGAATGCCATATGAATTATATAATAATGCTAAGTAAAGTACTAACTAGCCTTCAATTTGACCTTGTTTTTTATTTGCTTATTTATTATCCAAGGAGGAAAACAAGGACAAGAGGAGGATTTGCTCTTCATTTTCTAACAATTCTGCCTTCCCAGTGCCTCTCTTCAGGTTGTAAAAATATCTAGGGAATGCCATACATGCTATTTCATAACCTTTGGGATATAAAACAGTGGTTTGGCTGGCAGAGATAAAGGAAAGAAAAAATGCACATGTATTACTGATTAATTAGAGAAAGCAGGTGGTTTGCTCAGAACAGGAAAAATAAAGCTGATTTAAGTACAGGAGCTTCATTTTGGCTGTTCTCTTCCAAAGGTATTTTATCAAATTGCTGCTGTATTGCAAGATCCATCTAGCATTGCCAGCAGGGTGCATCCTCACTTACAAGGGCAGCATTGGGAAGGGCAGTGTTACATGTAGTGCACAAATGTCATCTCAGAGGCCATGTTCACTCACAACCACAGAAACTCGCACAGTTAAAGATGAGCCCATGTCAAAACTCCAGAAACGAGAAGCACATTTCCAATCTACACTTCACAAACGGTTACAGTCTAGGTTCATTCCCTGAGCTTTTAGGAGTTTGAAAAGTGTGGGTTTCTGTTCAGTGGCCTGCCACCCTTCCTAGGGAAAAATCCAAAGAGAGAGTTTGCAGAAGAGCAGAGAAACAGTGGCGCAAGGCTGGTGTAGAGTTTTGTGCAAGGAAGAGGCTCTCATACCTCTATTATACAAAACAACAAGCATGGCTAGTGCTGGATGCTGAAAGGGTTTGGGGTGAATTGAAGGGAAGAGGCAGATAATTTGAGATACAAGAGCTTTCAGAGAGCACCAGAGGAACAGCAAAGGAGTTTTTCCCCCTTTCCTACTAAAAGCTGACGTTCCCGCGTAAGCTTAGCCCCTCTGAGCAGGTTCAATTCCTCCTACCAGCTAAAAGCCTATTAGACAACTCCTTTGGGAAATCCCAGGCTTGCTATAAGCTGTACAATAACAAGACATGAAGAGTCTTGAAAAGTGCTCCAGTGCAAATGGTGCTCCAGAAGGAGGCAGGCTGGGACAGTCTGAAAGGAAAAAGCCCTGTTCCCCACACCCAAACTTACTTGAAGGCTGCGACAGCCACTGCAGTTGTCAAAATAGTATTCCTAGTCTCTTTTCCTCCAAATCCTCCTCCCATTCTTTTCAATCGAACCACAACCCGATTTGAAGGGACTCCCAATGCATTAGCAGCAAACTCCTAAAGAAAAACAGAACAGCAGAACATGTACAGAGCTGAGCTGGTGTTAAGAACTAGATACCAACACACTGCCTTTCTGCAACCATTGCAACAGTGCAAATACTCTGTTACGTTGCAGGTCCTATTGGTCCTGCAATTGGATTTGATGCAATTGGGACCAATAAGCCCAGTATTTTCTCTCTGAGGTGGGAAGGCACACAGTGCTTCAGCAGACAGCACCAGATTCAGGAAGAGACTGACATGAGATGACGTTACCAAGACATAGGTCTCATTTAGCACAGGGTTTGACATCCACACCACTCTTGTCCATTCTCCTCACTATTATGAGACCTTTGGACAATCTTGGTGAGTCAGTAAACAGGCCAAAGACACCCCATAGCGCCAGCTGCCTATCTCACAAGATAGCAGAGTTCGTATATATGGTCAGTGTTTACACCACCTCTCTGTCTGACATGTCATTCAACAGCCATGCCTACTGCCTACAGCTGGCACCCTCTCCAGAAAGGGTTACAAGGGGGAATGGCTTTAAACTAGAGGGGGGTAGATTTAGACTAGATATAAGGAAGAAATTTTTTATGCTGAGGGTGGTGAAGCACTGGCATAGGTTGCCCAGAGAGGTGGTGGATGCCCCATCCCTGGAAACATTCAAGGTCAGGTTGGACGGGGCTCTGAGCAACCTGATCTAGTTGAAGATGTCCCTGCCCACGGCAGGGGGGTTGGACTAGATGGCCTTTAGAGGTCCCTTCCAACCCAAACTATTCTATGATTCTAAGCATGTAATCCCTGGTGACAAAGATGTGCTGCCAACAGAAACACCTCTGTCACCTGGAAGTGGATTCAGGACACCAGTAGGATGGATACAGACTTTAGGTCCCATACCCAACTCTCAGCCTATGTGGTTTTTTTATTCAAGACAAGATAGGACCAACTGTAAGACAACTGTTTATCTCGTCTGAAACTGAGAAACAAATGCCTTTTAGGTAGCAGGTCAATAAGACAGTACCTGTGTCTTCATTAGGTTTTGGGTCGACACAAAGAGTTCTATCTCACCATCTTCCCCCTTTGGCACAGCCACAGTACAGTGAGTTTCCAGATAGAAATGCTCCTGCCCACCAAGGTACATCTCTCCTAGAAAATTGAAAGAAATGCCCCAAAGATAGGGTATCCTTGGTGTTATAAGGTGTCTCCCACCATGTGCTGCCTGCAAGCTACTGCCCTTTTCACATGTGTTAAATGACAACCCTTTGCACTACCCAGCACTTGATAACCCTAGCTCTAAAATTGACACTTCTGGTTCGATATTTTTAAAAAAAACAACCCAAAACAAAAAACCCGACAAGCCCCCCCCTCCACTTTCTAGAAATTTTCAGTTCAACACAGAAGTGGCTGGCATTTCAAAAATAAGCCTGCACACCATGCCATTGACCCAGCATCCCTTAAGATGCAGTGTTGCCCTGATACCACCACTGAGATGAAGGATAAAAATAAATCAAGTATAGTCTAGCTGAGCAGATCAAACACAAGGTTACAGACTTTGAAACAGGGGAACAAAAATAGAAACCCAAAATGCCTTAAGAAGATATAACTGGGAATCAACTCTGTCACTGCATGTGACACTTTCCCAGGACATCTTACCTGGCAGTGCTGAGGGTACAATTTCCAGTCATGCTACACACTATTAAATGCCAGAATCAACCTCCTTTCTCAGTCATGGCCCTGGTCTGTTCAGTTGCCATGAAAATTAATATTCAGAGCAGTTCTCAAAATCCTGTTCTTCTCTTTCTTTTATTCCATTCAGCAACAACAAAATAGCTGCCTTCATTAGGTACATCAGGGAGAAATGCACATTTGCATGAGACAACGCCTACTCTGGTACACAGCAGGGGCCTTTCTCTTGTCTTCTCAAGGGGGTTGGCCTGGCATTCACACAGTATTGCAGTCTTTTAAATAACCTATTCTTCTAGCTCAGAACAATTTCTGCCTTGCCTGGCACAGTGTTTTCATTTTGTGTAGTATAGTACAGCATAAGAAAGTTAACAACAGCTTATGACACCTTTGAAGCACCAGCGCCGATCGCTGACTGCAGAGGAAAGTCAGCAATGCATACCAAAATATAACAAATGACAGACCTGGAAATGGGTGTTTCAGTTAAATAACTCCCCCCTTCCCCCACAGGGAGGTAAGGGGGGCATGCTTCTCTGATCTTCGAGAATAATCCCTTCACACTAGACTTTGTGTCTGTAACTGATTTAACTTCCTCTCAGATCTGCAAGAGGGATACAACACCCTCTTATTGACAAATACATAGTTCTCCAAAGGTCTGATGTTTGAGACTCTTCCTCTCAGGAGCTATTGATCGGCGACACGTACACCAGGCAATGACATGGGTCTGACAGAGCATTCCAGTTCACAGCTCTGGCACTCTCCCCTCCTAACTCATAGAGGTTTTAAACAGTTGTTGGTAATTGCTGTGTTTACCCATGTCTCTACAACCTGCTTGGCAGACTCCAACTGAATGAAACTAAGAAGCAGAAAAAAACACCCCCATCCTCAAAGACAGACCAACAATCAATGTTGAGAAAGTGTTACAGGGCAGCACCATGTTCTTCATGATACCTACAGCCACCAATGTTGGTGGATCAGGTTTTCAGATGCACGTATTTTCATAAGATACAGTCATATACCAGGTTAAAGGAATGACTGCCTGTGAGATTCAGACCAGACTATGTCTGGACAGGGAAACTCCTATATGAACATGTTTCAGGAAAAAAAAATCACTTTGTAGAATATTTGCTTAAGAAAAATATGTCCTTACATTGGAAGAGAGTGTTTACAGGGGCACAGCTGGAAGCATCTAAGTCTGTTTGAAACAAATTAAACTTTTCACAAGCTATTTGTATATAAACAGTTAGCTGAAACTTAATATGAAATAAATTTAGCCCCACAAGCCTCACTTTCATGAGTTCAGTATCATATGCATAAAAAGGAGGCTCATAGCTTGACTTCTTTTGTCACAAACTATCCTATTTTAAAAGAAGTATTAATGCTTATTCTCACCTTCCAAAACGTGATCAGATTCTTCAAATCCTTTCTTCACATCTCCCTTATTAATCCTCTTTATAGACTTAAGAAAGGATTGTTTCTCAATAGCTTCCTAGGAAACATGACGACACAATGAAATTTTTGTGGAAGCAGAGTGAAAACAACGCTTCCTCTAACTGAAGGAGAAATATTCAAGATAAAAAGGACAAGAACTTATCACATAGTAATTATGGTAATAGCCAAGTGACTTGACTTAAAGCAGTACAAAATTTTTGGCAACAACAATTTCACAATAATCACCATAATTGGACAATCTTAGATTGCTCCTTGTGACTCATTTTACATTACGGACCTAGAACCTCAAGGTCTGTAGCCACCAGAGCTATGACTTACAACTTATGTTAACTATAGTCTGTGGCCCAGAAGAGGGGAAAAAGGAAAAGGGAAACAAAGAGAGAAAGAGGCAAAAGGAGAAAACTAAAACTCTCAGACAGGATGAGAACTTCTGCAGAAATAGTTCACTTCTGAGCTAACATACAATAATCTTTCTTAGGGAAGCTTTACAAACGCATTTCACTTTTGCCAAAACAGAAGATTTCCATAATGAAAAAAAACCAAAGCTACAGAATGACCAAACAACAACAAAAAAATCAGCATATTTTTGGCTCCACTCATCCTCCCTGGTTGAATAAACAACTAGAAACCTCAGAAAAAGGAAAGTTCTCACACGTTGTTTGTGAACCCACAAATCATACAAACAACCCAAAACCTCTGTCCACAGATGACAGTACCAATGTCTGTACTAGACAATGCAGACTCTCAGTATTTCCATGAATACAATTTGTATTACAAAACACACGGTATGAAATACTGACTGTTAAAAAAAATTAATTAGAATCCCATGGTTCTAATTTCTCCCCCCATAAGAATGGCTTCATACATTTTTTTCTAATTTCTAGATGTGAATGCTGTATTAGATATTATCATTTGCTTTTACTGTCACATAAGGAAATCTTGTCAACAAGCCTTCTAGTTAAAAAACAACAACATTAAATGATCACAAATTGTTGACATTAATTCCTTCAGCTTTGAGAAAAGCCACTTAAGGGCTGTGTCCATACAGTCAGTGGAAGTGTTCACAGTGGAGAGTGAACTCCTGAAAATTAATTTCATCAGCTTCGAAACTAGACAAGCGGTCTGCAGAAATCTCAGAGCAACAGTGCAGTGACAGAGCTAGAAGAGACATTTTCACATCCTATTATTGAGTGGTATAAATCAGAGAGTATCGCATGAATGAATACCAGTGAAGCATCATACCAGAGAATATTGAAAGCAAGCACCTGTGGGTAAGACTGTAACTGACAGTAACCTTGTTAAACAAATTTGTGCTGAGCACAATATATCTACCAGGGTTTGGTTTATTTGTTTTAGCTTTAAATAACACAGAACAAGTTAATGTACTCCCAATCAGTACCACATCAAAGGTGTGTCCTCTTTATATTTAAATATACAAATTATTCCATCTATCCATATCCTGCTGCACCCACAAAGACTAACGAAATGTGTGGCTAAATAACCACATGTGTGAAAATAGAAGTTAATTAGACATCAGGGGGTCCCAAGCCAACTGCAGAAGCAGATCTGAGCCATCTCACCTGAATTGTGACAATAGGTTTGAGCTCTTCATACTTAATCTTCACAGCTTTAGCCGCTCTTCTGGAATGTTCTTGTGTGTCTGCAAGAACTGCACCGATGATATGACCAACACAAGTGACCTACAGGCGAGATTAGGACCCACCATCATTTGGTGTGTATATATGCAGTAACTGAGAGGCTCATGATAATTCTCTTCATCTATTCCTTTTGTGCAGTTTTTCATGTTTGTTCAGACCAGTCTATTTAAAATCAGTCAAGGGAAAATGATCACAAATTACTTTGGACAGTAACCAAGTGAGTGAGCCTGTCCCAGTGGCCTGAAGCTTAGAGGAGAATAGTGCAGATACCACAGAGGGGAGGGGCATAGGGCAAAGGAACTCAGGCCTTATTGAGTTTGGCACCAAGATTTCTATTGACTCTGGTGCAGTTAGAATTTATCTCTGTATAAGATAGAGGACTTCACTGGACAATATGGAAAATCTTATCTCCTGAGCAGTGTGACTGCAAAAGGCTATTTTTAACCACATACCACATCCTCAGCAAAGACGGTCTCATCATTAGCGATGCCAGTGATGTTACTGCCAGGAACATCCTTGGCGGAGACAAAACACACAAACCCAGGAACACTCTGGGCTTCAGAGGCATCTACAGAACTAAAACAAGAAAGGAGGAGAGGCAGCATTATTATTTCTCACTTTTCTTTTTGTCAGTGCTTATGAGACACCAAATACATTTTCAGGCCTGATTCCCTGAAGTCTGGCTATGCAAAAAAGGAGTTTGTCACATGAATATCATGTGAGACCAAGGCAGAAAGGGCAACATATTAGACTAAAATCATTTGGGATCTATATGATAATCTGAATCCTGACTGTGAGTGATCACCAGTCTGCTTCTTCGGACTATACTGTATCATACATCTTTTCCCTAAGACATACCTGAACTTGATCCAATTGTCATGTGTACTAAAGATCCCTTGACACCCTTTTACCAACAACAGATTGCTGTTAGTGATGGTATGCCTCCACTCTCTCCTTAGCTGCCATGATTCTGTGAAGGCAAGATTCCTCCCTGTCTACTGATAAACATGAAATTTTACTGCAGACACACATCATCTACCACGGCTTCACCTCTAGAGAAAAATGAGGCTGTGAGTCAGGGAGGGGTTGTTGAGTATCAATCACAAGGAAGCTGCAGGGTATTCAAAAGGATTTAAAAGAAATGACGCTCCAAAAGACAAAAAGCTTCATGAAACCTCTTTTGCTGATTACCAAAGAAAGCCTGTCTAACCAAAATGTTCGTCTGCTTGAATCATATACAGATTTAAAACTAAGTGAAAAGCAGGACAGAAAGTAACTAGAAAAGTGCAATATAATTTAATTTTTATATAGAGCACTTCATAAAAAATGTATTACAAAAGACTTTCAAGCTCCTTTTGCAATATTTTGTACATTGGCTATGTAATTGGCTTGCTTTACAAGAGAACTGTTGCGAATAGAAAAGCTGTGGCTTTGTTTCTGCTAACGGAATGATTTATTGTCTTCTGTAAATTGCTGCAATTTTTTCAGCATGCTTGTTTAGATTCCTGAAACTCCGATACAAACTGTGCCTGAAAGTAGCTGTTTATGCATCCCAGTGAGCTACAGACTTTTTTAAAAAGACATTTAATGTATGAATGAACTTTCCCACATGAACTCTTAGACAGCAGGAACTGAAGACAATGCTATTTTTCTTTGGAAAGTTCACTTTCCCATGCTTTTGCAGTAATGCCTCAGAAACAACCCCCTGACAGTTTCCCTTAGTTAGAAATACAGAGGCAGATGATTTCCAATTTACACTTGGTGGTCAAGATCTGACACGGGTGAAGTGGAAGTTTTCAGAGCCAATACTTTGACCGACAAAAATCATAGGCTGAGATACTTCTGTCACCTGATGAAATATTCTACTACTTCCTCTACAGAACAATACAGGCTCACAGCTTGAAATGTGAGTGCACAAAGCAAATGCAAGAGAATGTGTACAGCAACCTCTAGAAAATACCACGTATTGTGGTCACAGGCATAGATCTGATGCTTTCTCTATTGCCCCATCTGCACTGGTAGTAGTAACAATACTTATGCATTTGCAGCACTCATCAGTGACTACGTTGCAACACCGAAGATTTAACTATGATGACAGAGCAATTTCTTTCATAACCTAGGAGTCGACTACTACACATCTGTGCATCTATGACACTGTACTGCCCGTCCTGTGTTAGACCACTGTGGGGAAACCTCTGGATAGGAAGCCTAAATAGGCAGGAAGCATTGCCTAAGGAACGAACAGCGTATCGCAAGGCTGCCTTGTGTCATCCTCAACAATGTAACACAGAGTGTCCCACATAAAAGCAGCCGAGGGCAGATGAGAGCCTGCAGAGCCACCACAACGTAAGCACAATTAGGGATTGCGGGGGGCAGTCAGTCCCGCAATATAACAGCATAAAAACTCACATAAGAATGCAAGATGGCATTACCCTACCTTACCAGGATAGGCGTTTTAGAGTTGGTTAGTCACTATTGTTATAAATTATGCATCAGTCATGCCCTGCATAGACAAGATGTTTTCAGAGACAGCTGCACTTCCAAATACTGACCTATCCAACTTGCTACAGCCGAGCACAAACAGGTCTACATCTAATAGCTGAAGCTAACTCACACAGAACTGTTACGCAGAGGGCTTGACTGTAGCCAGTGCAAGCAAGCACCATGCAAGGCAAAAACCAGAAGACAGTACTCACACAGCTGACTCACCAGCAGGAGTGCTGTGGCAGAACTGCATGTTACAACCTAGGTTTTTAGGCAGATAGGAAAGAGCATGTTCAAGCTGCATGCTCTGATTAGTGATTAAAACGACATCTCCTCAGACATTGTAGTGCTCTCCTACCCTGCTCCTTTTTAATCCTGCATGCTTGAGTATAAGAGATGGGACATGCAAGAAGGTTGCCTAGGCCTGAGAGCTTTGTGCTTCAGCAAAGCTCTGAGTTTGGTGTTAATTCCCTCATATTCCCACTTACGCAGACTTGCAAGGCAGCTGTAACACACACAGCTCACCTCCATGTAACAATGTGCAATGAATCGGAGTTCCCACTAATGCAAAAACCTATCCCTCACCTGCAGCTTGACAGGTTAATGTTTTCTAAGCCACCAGGTACTGGATGCTTCCAACATCTGAAATTCAGAAGCAACACTTACAGGATCTTAGCATGGGCTTTGGTGCTGGTCACCAGTGTTAGATACAGCTCATTGTCATAGTGAGGGATGTCATCGCAGTAAACAGCTTCTCCACATGCTTGTTTGGCTGCTGAAACATGCATCAAAGGCCGGCCCACCATATCTTCAACTGCCTGCCCCCTGGGCACTTCCTGGAGTAAAACACATAATTGATTACTACTGCTCATATTGCAGGGGACAAGCATTGATAGGAGAGCAAAAGGCACCATGAGACATTTTAGTGAGATGGGGAATGGGATGGGGGCTAAGTCCTGTGGGAAAGAAAGGTAAACAAGATGGAGTGGCTACACAGAGGAGGCTGTAGAGAATGAAGTGAAAGGGATTTGGTTTTTGAAACTGCTATGGAAGAGAAGGATTTGATGTGACAGCTTGCATAAAAGGTTCAAGTTCTGAAGCTAGCTTCTACTCTCAAAGCTGAAGACAACAGGTCATTAACAGAGAAATATGGAAGAAGATATAACCTGAATCTGAAGCCCGAGAGATGCAAAGAAAGGCAGGCTGTAACTGGGGAAAGCAGAAGGGCAATTTCAGTTTGGATATGGAGCTGGCTGCAGGAGGGAAGTGCTACACAGCGATTTTTATGAAGCTGTATGCATCAGGAACAGTCTTAGGCAACGACAGGAAAGAACACTGTATCCTAAAGCAAGGAAGGGACTGAGACACAAATACAAGCCTCAGGAATGGCATTATATAAGTTCATGTATTGCCCATACTCAGGGAGACAAGAAGATAAGAAGCACAGTTTGAGCTACAGAAAAGCCTGGGTCTATGTCATGCAGGTACTGCTACTTACTTGGAAGAGCTGGGCATTTGCAATGGGATCTTTGTGAAACAGCTCTGTAGCACTGATGTAGTTCGAAGGGACGGGCTCACACAGATTGTTCTGCCAGAGACATATTAAAGAACAATCATCTTCCCTGCCAGTCCCTTTCTCACGTTCCCCACTAGCCCAGGATATTCTCCATTCTCCATCCTCCAGTAAAGATAATTCATATTTTACTGGGTGAAAGGCAAACTGTGCTCAGGCTCTGTGCAAAGAATAGCCACAGACCCATGAGAGCAGTTGTAATGCAACAAAGGGGAGATGTCCAGGAATCCTCCTGTGAACCCACAGATCAGCATCCTTCCACAGCAAGGTGGGGATGCCACAAGGAAGCAAGTGGGAAGATACACTAGTCACTGTCATGCAGGTAAGGAGTAGAGTAGCTCTGGCAGCTATTGCAACATGGAGTTTGTTATCAGGAACGACTCTGCTTGAATGCCTTCCCCACCAAGACAGCACATACAGGTCCTCCTTCCCCAAATCTGCCTTCCCTAGCAGCACTCACAGTGCCATTGTGGTTCTTGCTCAGTTTCTGAAGGACCGTCAGGTAGAACTTGAAGAAGAAGCTGAGTGTAAGCGTGCGTCGGAAATCCACCATCCCACCAGGCGCAGAAGGAGACAGATCCATCTCACCTGCCAGTAAGCGGCAGGCATCCTGCAGCAGCTTCTCATTCCAGTCTCTGCAAGGGAACAAAGGTGACACAGAGCCCTTGCTCAGCCCTAAATTTCACTGGGGCAGACTAACTCTTCTGACATGGCAGCCACTCAAGCTCTCAAGCAACAGCCACCAGTTCTATCTCTGTCTAGAGTATATGTGTCAGCTTTGCTCTCATCTTGGGCTCATGTCATCTTTTCTAAAGATGTGGCGAAACTATTAAATGATAAGAGTGCAGATTTCTCAGTCCAGTTTGAAAGAAAACCAGTTTTGTACATCATGCCCAACATCTAGCTTCTGCCCACTTCAACAGATGACTGAATTTAGCAAGGAAATGGCTCTCTGAATGACACACTGACATGGATCTTTGAGGGTAAGGAGTACTGGAGGAAGCAAGGCATCACACAAAACGCAGACTGCTGCATAAGTGTAGCTACACTTCTTTCCCCTTTGTCCTTCTGTGTACTATCAGAGAGGATTTAGGGTATTTGAACTGCTCCTGTAAAAAATCAGCACCATTCCATTAGACAGCCTTTCTATCACAGAAAAATTCCTACCTGCCGGTGAGCTCCTGGCAAGTTTTTAGCGCCAGGACAGTCGTAGGAGCCATTCCTCCATAGCTTAGTTTTATCTCCTCCACTCGGCTAGTGCCATCTTGGAACAGGACTCTCATCCCACAGGTCACAATAGCAATGTCATCCTCCCGACGGGAAGCCTGCTTGAAAGCTGAGAAGTATTCACCCTAGAAGACAGGAAAATATTTCTTTATTCTCTACCTTGGCATGCTTTGGAGTATAAATACGGACAAGCTGTTAACCTATCTCTACATGGACAATCTATTCCAGGGAACTGTATCTGGTTGATTCATCTTGCAGGGCCAAGCAGGATATGTTTGTTCAGGCAGCACTGTATATTTTCACATGATTCAACAATTAATTCTAATGTATTAAATCAGTGGTTTTTAGTCAACCTAGGACTATGTGGGAAATGAGCTTTGACAGAGATCTGCTTGCACCTGTGACATTTTTTCCATACCTTGAGAGGAAGAAGCAGGACAGATTTTTTTGTACATAAACAAGCTTACAGTTCCTCAGCAACTTTTTCTTTCTCCCAGGCTGCTAAGCTAGAAGCCTAATCAGTAAAACTCATATCCTAAACCCCTTCCCTTCAGAAGTCTTTGAACTCTGCAAGAACTGAAATCAATAATCACAAGTGTCTCACAGTTCTAGAATAGACCAGACTAATTAATATAAGACAATTTCAATCTGTTACTGCAAATACAATTCTCAGTAACTATCCTGGATCCTCTGCTGGTCTCCACAGAGTGAGGAAATTCTTTTAAATGCACCAGCAACTACAACTCACAAAACTCGGCAGCTCTCCTATGAAGAGTGGCAGTAAATATGAGATTAACACTCTACCAGTATGCACCAAGTGATGGTGTCACCCTGGAGTCACAGTACAGTCAGTTTTTCCCCTTGCCTGTCCTGCAGATTATGACAAACTGCTCCTCAGGCATCCTGCAGACTAAGAGAGGAATCAGATCCGATGTCTTTGCATGGCCCTTCTGTAGAGTTTTCTGCCAAGTTTCTTCTCTAATAGGTTAGCCAAGTGACTCTGCACAGCACAGCAGCCTGTTCCATTAATTATTTCTAATCAGAAGTGGACAGCAATTCTTTCATTATTGTAAAGAACAATTCCTCTATTGTTGGCAAGGAGAACAGTTTCACAAGAGGTCCCTTTTGAGCATCAAGAACTTGTTACTGGAGATATAACTGAAGGGTCTGTTTCATTTCCTGAATTCAAGTAATTAGTGGGCAGCCAGCAGATAATAGCACAGAAGCATCAATAGCATCCTCTCAATGAGGACATTTTGCCACTCTGCTTGTTAAACCAATTAGCTTTCACAGAGGAGATAAAGCAGCCTCTTCTCTTACTGCACACTTCAGAGAAGATTTCCAATAACGTGATTGCAACAAGAGGGCAATATTTGCCTTCACTTCTCGCAAGACACCTTAGTTTTCTTGGTACAGAGTCCTGCGGGAGAAAAGGCACTCACTATTTTTCCTCACTAGGAGTGTAGGTAAGGTAACCATCACATCAGCTGCCCATGTCTGCCCTACCTCTTGGTAAAACAACAGAACATGTCCCCTCTAAACTACCACAGTGAAAGTTTCTAGGTGTTATTCTCACAGGAAAACCAGGCAACCCTTACTCTTAAGGGCTGCATATTAGGGACCTAGATTAGCCTCCCCTCTTCCCTTCTGGACAAGATGCAACACCAGGTAGGAGCACATTAAGAAATCCACAGGCTCTAAAAGATTCATAGGCAATATTCACAGTTGCAAAAACATTGTTTCCATGTCAATTTTTTCAGTCCACCACCGTGGAATATAGAGATCAATAATGGATGAAGGTTGGAGGATACTAACCTAAAGGGTGAAGTAAGACTTCATGACCACTTTCTGTCTCTTCAGCAGCGCAAAAATTGTGATACTATGAGCCTATGATGGCAATACTGAGCAAACAGTAGGTTAAGATTGTTTTCCAAAGATAGAAATATATAGGCATTGTGTTGTCAGGCTTTTTCTATTTGAAAACCAGTAAACGTCTATGTGATACAGAATACTATTATCATAAAAAGTAAATAACAGTGACAAATGTGGTAGAGAAAGATGTATGCAAGGGAAAGGACATGAAAAACTGATGGTCACTAAGTGAGTAATAACACAAGTGGTGCATAACATTTGTGAACATTATCTGGAACACAAAGAATGTTTTTATAGTCCAGAAAAGAAAGAGGGTTGTTAAATAAAGGATATGTCCTGTTCTAGGAATGCCTTGTTATATACAAAAAGCTAAGCAGTTTTCTTTTCTGGAATCTGTTCATATTTTATCTTTATTCTAGTGAGCTGTTTCCTTTTCTAAATACTGTCTTTGCTCAGCTGCAATCTCCTTACAACTATAGACTCAAAAATCTTTATTCCCTGAATATCTTAAATATCTGACACACAAACTAGCAGGTGAAAAAGGTGTTACCTCCTCTCCCTTAACAGCCTCTCTGTGATAAAGCCTACCCTGAACTCAGTCCCCCTACAGTAACACTGAATCATGTAAACCGCTGAACTTCTTTAGTCTAATTCTTTCTGTTGTTTGGCCAGTCTTACCCTTGGTGTGACAAGTCACATCAATGCAAGGGGTAACACCAGTTTTAAACAAACGTAAGCCAAAAAATTCGATCTAGCTGTGTGCTGACACAGCCCTGCTTCCAGTTGTGAGGAAATCACAGTTCCAGAAGACTTTGCCTGCCACGTGCCAACAACACCTTCAGACATCCCCTGAAGAACTTTAGTCTCCCTGACTTCATGTTTGTGAGCAAAGATCATCCAAGAAACCACGAAGTAGAGTTCAAAAGTTGTTTTAGTTTTTCAGATCAATGAGCTGCATATAACCCAGGGATGAAGCCATTGCCCTGCTGGTAAACATTTGTTTGTTTTGTGAAGTTGCCATATGACTGTCATATGGATGGAGGAACATGGTGTTTTCCATTGACTACCTCAAGTGTGTTTTTCATTTTGGCAAAAAGCGATGCTTCCTGCAATTATCACATGACCAAAGAAGAATCACTCAGAGATAGATGGAAAAACACCATAAATAAAATAGCTGTGTTCCCTTAATAGTTAGATAAAAAAATTAAAGAGGATAGACAAAGGATTTATTGGCTCTATCCCATAATATGATGCCATTTCAAGTAAATCAGTGTTTTCCATTTATAAAGAAAATGTGTCACTACACTGTGAATCTTTGCATCTTATAACTTGTAGCCTCAAGCCCTAAAAAGGTAAATACCTTCACAGCCATAAAATTACAGTCTGATGTTCTCAGCCCTAAAGGGGAAAAAAAAGAGAGTTTTACCTCTTAGACACTCTGAATCAGTTATGGTTCATGCTGCTACAGAAGAGAAGTATTCATTGTTCTATTTGAAGGAAGTTTTGCACGCTCATTTGAAGTTGCAAGTCCACACTGCCAAAATGCCCTAATAATCAGTCCTTGTGGTTTCAGTCTTGCAAAGCAAGGATGCAGAAACTGAACTTCCCTCTTACCCGTAACACACTTTTTCCCATTTCTTTTCCCATTTCAGTTCATAGAGATGAAGCAGGAACCTTGGGAACTTTAACTTCACTTTACTTCAGGAACTGCTAGCATCTTAGCTGTACTATTTTGTAAACATAACTTAGACCTCTGGGAACATCACTTTGTCACCTTTCATCATTACCAAATGCACTCAAAAAGCTCCAGACAATAAAGTGAAATTCATATTTCTTGCACTAGAAAACTTCTTGGGCTTGCCGTACTTTCTTGGTACGGTAAGCTCACCTTGCTTGTCAAAAAGAGTATGTTGCTATATTTTCACCAAATAATTTACTTGCTTCCTGGCCCACTTGGGACTACATAAGCATTTGGAGGTCAGTCTCCAAGGAAAAGAGTGCCTAACATTGAAAATAACACTCAAATAACAGCATTTTAGCTCCACAGACATTGAAGTCTCTTCCTACAAGCTTACCTTCTTGCTGTAGGGTATTTCAACAGAGAGAAGTATTTCTTCAGGCTTAACTATTGTCTTTCTGTATCCGGTGAAAAACTTCTCATCCATCATGATAGTCCTTTTGCCCTCTGTAGAGCAAGAAGAGATGAATGGCGGATGAATGAGTAACTCAGATGAAGAATGGCAGTAGTATGTGTGAAAGAGCCTTCAACCCATACAAATCACTCTTGATATAGTATCAGTTTTCATTTTTCCACCCTCTTTCACTAAATCAGGAAGGATTTTCTCAGATTTACTTTGGTCCTCATGGAATCCATGACAGCTTCTGCCTACATATGAAGTTTTATTTGCACAGGAACTGATCAAAGAGACCTCACTCCTTTATCTAATTAAAGCTGAGCCTCCAGGTGAACCAGTTTTCAACACCCCAATGTAATTTCTTCTTTCCCCTTTCCTTAGCCTGCACACAAACCAGTACAAGAGAGTCACTGATCAGACAGTCCACTCACTTCAAGGATCCTATTTCAAAAAAACTCTTCCTAAGAGCAAATACAAATTGAGACATTTGGCTTTCTTCATAGAAAAAAACAAAACAAGTTTCAATCTTCATCTGAAAAATCCACAAGGATCAAAGTATGATAATGACAGAAACAATTTCAAGCCTATTGTTTTTCATTAATACATATCTTCAACCAGCTCTTCACAAAGACGTGTCTGTAAGTACATACACAGCACCAGAGATTCATTCTGGCACAGAAGTTCAAAATTCTTCAGGAAGCCAACCTTTGGCCTAGCCTTAGGACTTCAGCCTCAAAAAGGGCAAAACTCCTGAAGGCTCAGACTAAGCCTTTTTTACATAACGTTAACTTCCACTTTCAAGTTCTGACCTGACCTAACAATCCATGGCAGAGGACTGTTGACTATCCCACTCCCCTCAGTGCCACAAGGAAATGTAAGTAACATACCATTTGATACCAAAGTCAGTTTGCTTCCACTTGCCATTAGCACAGGATTTAAGTCAGAAATTGGGCTTGCTGTCATTATGTTCCCACCAAGAGCCTAGAGTGATAATATATGCATCAGATAAATATTAAAAAACCTGAAGATACAGCCATAGCATCTTGTAATCCTGCATTACTCCATACCCAGTGCACTAGAGGTTAGCTCTGCTTGAGTTTGCTTTGATAAATTCTTTTTGCTCACTTAGCAATTTTAGGCCTTTAATGAAGTGGGAAAACGTAAAACCCATTAAATCAGTTGCTCTCCCAGTCAATACTAACGTTTGCCTGAAACAGTTTTAGGAACAATCTTTGGGTAATACATCAAAACTACCTTATGCTCAAACCATGTGTGCCCAACAATGCCAAAATTCAATCACTGTAGCTGCAATTAAGGGAAAATCCATTAAAGTATAGAGCACCTTTTCAGTGTCATTCAGGAACCCAAGTTTTTTTGGCTGCAGTACAAATATATGGCACAGTATCTTGTGGAACAAAATTTTGTTTGGTAGGTTGGTTCATCTGCTTGCTTGATAATTTTTTTCTTTTAGCATACAGAGTTTGAACACACTGAACCCACCTCCTCTTTCCTTTTAAAACTAGAGGAAAATTTGCCAGATCTGATGCATTAACACTATGACTATCATAGTTGTGCTGGCAAAAATCTACACACCCGCTTCTTCCAGCACTCTAAATACATTTTTGTGAAATTAGTCAAATCTCACTACAGTTTCCCCCACTTATCCTGATAACAGCAATGGAAGACCTGGACAACTGCCACGTTTCCCTTGCTTGCTAAATCTGTGATATCAGTGTAGCACAGATTCCAGCTGAGACCCATGTTACTGTCAGTTCCTGAGGTTGGTTTACGTGTACGAGCTTCTTTGCCTAAGTTTGCAAATGTTCTCGTGTGAGAAGCACAAGGCACACCAACATTGGATAAGGCAGGCCAGCTCCTCAGACTGAGCTTTCAATTCCAGTCCCTGACACTCTTGAGTCACTTACGGCAACATTCCTGATCTGTGGCCCTGCAAACCACCGCAGCTGTTCAAGGACAGCCTGGAAGACCTCTGTTTTGTAAGGAGGAAGCTCTGCCACCACTTTTCTCAGCACCTCCTCTACTGAGCTCAGGGTACAGGCAGCGCCGAAGGTGACCCCTGTAAAACACATTTTCATTTGTTTAACTGTGTTATAACTGTGTCTACAAAGCTTAGATGCCACTGAGTTTAATTAGACAGCAGGGTTTAGAGAACACATTCAGTCACACTAGACTATTTTGTATGCACTACATGTAAACATCACATCCTCAGAACAAAATTCACCTTTAAATCACAGCTCATGGTGGTACTGCCTCTCACATGACAGTAACCCACCGTCCTTTTGCCTCAGTGTATTATGAACAATATTGCCCTCCTATAGGTATTAATTTGTCCTTTGAGAAGTAAACTCCAACTCCTCTCCAGTTTCCACACCTTAAACATGCTACCAGGCATTGGGCCACATGCACTACATTGTCCTAATTACTTCTATTTGTAAGGTTGACCTGTTTCCCCCACGAAGATAAATGCAATACTTCACTTAGTCACCTGACTGTCAAATCCAGCATCTTTCCCCCAGTTACGAATTCTAGAATCTTTCTAAATAAAAAGATTGCCCATTGAAACCCATTATTAACCCAGTTAATATACATAAAACACCATGCATCAAACAGAAAATGTCTAATATACCTTCTAGTGAAAGCCCTCTTTGATTCTCAAAATATTTCTACGTATCGCTCACTTGATTCCCTGCATGGGAGAGGCATTAAGGCATACAGAAAGCAGTTTTTAATCTGGGTATTTTCCTTCATATCTTCTTTATTATTCTGTGGAGTCCCCACTCACTTCACAGGCATTCTGCCTCTTCTTTGCTCACCTGTTTCAGTGTGCTGAACAGCATTCATTTCAGAGATCCATGCTGGCGCTATTATCACTGGATACAACATGTTCTTTAACCTCATCTCAATACCTTAAGGAAAAGTAAGACTCCTTCAGTTACACACAGGTGACAGAGAGCCTAAGTTAACTGTTTCCCAATGAAATGGCAGCAGGCATATTAAAGAGTCAGTTCATTGACCATCTGTTACACAGATTATATAAGGTCACAGAGATACCAAACTAAAAGCTGTTTTCCACGAATGCCAGAATTCTCATAGGGAAGTTTTAGAGACTCTTTTCTAGGCTTACAATAACCTTAAATACACTGTTTAGTACTTGTGTAACCTGGCTATTGTTGTACATAATCCTTCAGGAAAGAACAATGAATACAATGAACCATACAAAGTTTAGGCATTGTCTCCCAAACCAACTGCTCAGGATAACAGAATTACATCTGAAATCTCCTCCTCAGCACTTATGTTTGCAGAAGTATATATTTGGGGGGGAAAAAAACAGTAAGATTTCAAGTCTTGAGAGTTTACTCACTGAAATATCTTTCAAAATGCACATTTTGCAACTGAATTCATTTGATTATGAGGACATTTTATGCTGTGCCACTCCCCTCTTCTCAAAATTCCACAAAACTAGCACAAAAGCTCAGAGGTCTAGATAAGCTTTTTTTTTTTTTCACCCGACACAGCAAAGAACAGAGAAAAACATTCACTGTGAGATTAATCTACCTGAGAAGAAAGTTTGTTCCTACATACAACCTGAAGATTAAACAGCTATTTAACAGCAATGGCATGAAGGAGGTTTACATTTGCACTGTTCTCACAAAATACTCCATGGAAAGTTTTCCAACTGCTCATAATGAGCATCAGCTCTTCCTCTTACCCACTTCGGTATTCCCCACAACGAGCTTGGCATTGGGGTACTGGGATTTGAGAGCCACCAATTCCTTGAGAGTTGTAGGCTGGATCCACATCACACGCTCGCCTTTGAAACACAGCTGTTTCTGCTGTTTGTTACTCTGAGTCTGCAAAAGTGAATTCAGATAGAGCTCAGACCCTACATCAGGCCAAGAATCCCTGCTCGCATGCTGCCCATGCCTATGTCAGGCCAGGCTCCATCTCAGTCAAGTTATTGACAGGTGGCTGTGATATCCACACTGTTGCTGGCAGTTAGCCATTCCCCATCCTTCTGCTGGCAGTGACAAGAGTCTTTTTCATGCTGACAAAAGCTTCCCCTTCCTGATATTGCCAGGTGCATCCTGCTGCCACATCTCCCCAGCAAGACCTCTGCCAGCAAGCTCCATCTGACCAAAGTTCTGACAGATGCCTGTGGCTTCAGCCATCTTAGAAGTAACGGGTTTTCCATTCTCATCTCACTGCAAAAATGTCAGTCTTTAGCACTGCTGAATTTGAGTTACCGGCTGTAAGGCCAGATTCTGGTTCCCTTTTTAATTCCTTCATCCAGTGACTGAAGAAAACAGACTAACACGGCTGCCTCCCAGCAACATCAGATCAACCCTTAGGCAGGAGAACATCTTAGTGAAGAAACAGAGGGGACCTATCTCAAGCTAAATATATATTATGCTATGGTCTATTAAAACCTACTCATGCTGTAGCTCATGACACATTTAGCCTGGGTGCAGCAGCAAAACTAATGACTTAATTTCAGTTGTTTGCTAAATGTGAAGGAAGCTGTAAACATGCCATGTGCTAGACTAGATTCCTGGCTGGGACACATTTGCTTGGGGGAAAACTACCCCAAAAAAGACAGGAATGAAACATGGAGAGAAACTAATCTCACCTAACTTTTGATGTCAGTGTGAGCCAGCCAACTTCTACTCCTGCTACACTGAGTGGAGAGAAATTGGTGCTTTCGGGAAGTCGTCTAGTTGAAACATTCAGCTACATCCCATAGCTCCTACTTCTCTTCCTACACTATAAAGGGAGCACAGGGCAATTAGCTCAGATACGGCTGTATTTAATGTAGAAGTTCACATCTGACCTAGTAAATTGAAATCTAGACGTCAGCAACTGTTCCACCCCTGGAGAGGCAGTGACCGGAAAGGAAGGCAACCCAAGAGCAGGCGTGCATGGCAAGAAACAGAGAGGAAAGCCAGCCAGCTGGGTCAGGCACTTGGCCTGCGTATCTTTTAAGCCACCCTCACTTAAAAGCCTTCCCTTTTATAAAATAGGGAAGCGTTCATGCCCATGCATCTTCTTTTATCAGCAGCCACCTTTTGCACTGACATTTCCTCAGGGCAGAGATACTGAGGACACTCAAACCCTGTGCAGAACAACAAAACCAACAAACCACATACTATTTCTTTTTGAATGAACCTACCATTAACTCTGGTGGGAAGATTGGCTCCTGTGTAGGGTCCAACGGCTGGAACTCAGAAGAATTGAACAGGCTGGAGGACACCATTGTCTACGACAGAAAATGCAAATGGCTGAGCGGCAGAGGAGAAAACTATCCACATACAACCCTAACTCATTCCTCCTTCCAGTCAAATCCCTACTACTATTTCATGGAGCAAATAGCAGACACAGTGAAAAGATGCCACCTGATCCAGTGTTTCACATTCTTCAGTCATTTTTCTGATCACAATGCATGTCTGGTCAGGAACCTGAATCCTGAACACACTAACAGGTTTTTGCCAATCAAAAGTGACATCACTTTCACATTGGCACGTTTAATTACATCAAAGGAACCTTTTCTGAGGTAAGACCAGAATAAAATATAAATTAGTCTAAACTGCTTTGCATAAATACAGCTAAATTAAAAGCACTGGGCTTTGGCACAGAACAAGCCAGAGCTAAGACTTCAAAACATCAGAAATACAGAAAAAACGAATAGTTGAGAAGCTCCTTACCACATTGTCTTCTTTTCCATTCATGCAGCAGCCTGGACCGTTGGCTTTTCCTCCACAGCAGCCCCCATTCTGAAGAAGAAACAAGCACGCTTCAGCTATTCTACACAAAGTCAGTTCCAACTTTTACAGGATATATTCCTCCCCTTTTATCAATCCCTGGATTGCAGAAATCTGCAGTAACATTTTCATTAATAAACTACTTTGATGAGAGAACTCCAAGCAGTCTTAATTGCTGGAGTATTCCATGCAACACTGGATGCTTCCGAACAAAGAATCCACAGGAATTCACTGGAATTTCCTGGCAAAGAATTTCATTATATTCTCTCTTTCCTAAAATCATATTATACTCACACTACCTTATGCCCTAATTCCTTGTTTTCATCCCTCCATTGTTTGTACCTCAACTAGTACAGAAAATGTGATTAACTTTTTTCCTCCAGATATTCCAAAAGGTTCCAATTGTACGATTTATTGGAATGGTGATTAAATTACTTCATTATCATTGGACTGCAAAGTTTGGGAAAGATCACACTGAGGAATTAACTGGTTTTTAGATCTGTTTTCACAGAAAGACGGATTGCTTCAATATACCAGAAGCTGGTAACACATTGCTTACAGTTGTCACCATGCTATTTCACAAAAGTGTTGCACCACACAGATTCAGAAGGAACATATCTAGCTCATTATTGTAAAACCTATGTCATGACGGCTCGTCATGCTACCCAGGACATATACAGTCACAGTGTTTTCCAAGAGACAGACATTCAAACCAGCTCAGACAGCTCTGAATAGCCGCACCACAGTAGAGCCAGAGAGGTGACTAATACATCAAAACTCTAATACTATATTGCAAATTGAGGTTATGGCTTTTAAAATTCAGCTTACCATGCTATTTTCCCTCTCACTACGACAGCATCCAGTGCCATTGGCTACTCTGCCACAGCAATTCAAGTCCTGTGGGGACAAAAACTGTTCTGAAAAAAGTGTGCAGATTCCAAGGAAATGAAGTAGACTTGATTCCCTTTTGAGAGAAATTGATCCCATATTTATTATATCCAAAACAGAAACGGGAGATAGAAGGTGCCAAGCAAGCAGGTGTTTCCCTTGCCAATGGAAGGCAGTATTCTGCAGTGTGATGGCTAGGTCATGTCCAGTCTACTGACAGACCTCTTGTTCTGGTTTAGAACTACTCTGACCATTCAGCCAGTATCTCTGGTCCAGCTGGAGCTGTGAGGAGATACCCAGAGAAGAGTAAAAGGGACAAGTACATACAAGACAATACCTAGTACTCTACCAGCATCCAACTGCATTCAGCTCAGGGGACTACCTTAGCCCAGTGTGGTTTCTGTCTCTTTAGTAGCCCTCAGTAGCTCCCATCCAAGTACCTGCTCAGTCTCCCCCGGAGCCTGTGTAAGTTTTTGGTGCCCACAACACCCTTTTGGTGAATTCTGCAGGTCAGCTACCTGGTACATGGCAGACCATCTGCCTTTGTTTTCAACCTGACCCCTACTCGTTTCATTTCTTGACACCTTGCTCTTGTATTGGAAGAGGCAGCAAACAGCAGACGCCTGTCCACATTCCACCTGCCAGTCACAATTTTGTAGATCTCTATCAGAGGTCAACACAAACCACTATATGGGCTACGTAGAGCCCCTTCCCCTCCCTGACATCTTTTTTCCAGGCTGAAGCATCCCAGCCTACTCAGTGCTTCCTTGTATGGAAGCCAGATTACCACAGATGTGATCCTTATTTCATTTCTCTGAATCTTTTCCTATTCTGCTATACCCTGTTAGAGATGAGAGGACCAGAACTGCACAGTAGTCAAGTGTAGGAAGAGCCATGATGCAGACAGTGGCATGGCAGTGTTTTCTGTTTTGTTCTCTACCCTTTGAAGTGTTGTTTTGATGGCCAGCAAGCATTGAGCTGGTGCTTCTGTGGAACTGTCTACCACACCTCCAAGATCATCTTCCTGCATGGTAACAGGAAGATGATCTTGTGTCTGCTCACAGCCTATCATTTTATATGTGAAATGAGGACTGCCTTTCACTCTGTAAATTGCTTTGCATTTATTTGCCCTGAATTTTGTATCCCATTCTATTCTCCAGTCCCTCAGGTTCATAAAGCCCTTCTGAAATTCCTCAAAGTCTGCTCCTGTCTTCACTACGCAGACTAACTTGGTATCAGTTAACTTACTTTCTCACATCACCGCTCACTCTCTTTTCCACCTCATTTAGGGATATCTTGAACAGCCTTGCTCCCACCACAGGTCCCAGCAGAACTCCACCAGTGACCTCCCTCCATTGCAAAAATACACCATTTTCTCCTACCTGCCATTTCCTGCCTTTTAACCAATCTTTCATCCATACAGAGATCTTCCCTCTTACCCCATGGCTGCTTATTGTCTTTAAAAGCCTTTGGTGAGACACTGTTGAAAGCCTGTTGGAAATCCAAGTAGACTATATTGACTGGGTTTATCAAACATTTGTAATGGATCTCACTCCTGCTTATATTCTCTTTTGTTGATCGTAATTCTGGATAATAAAACGAAATTAACGGGCAGCATTCTAAATTCTTTACTTTTGATATTTAATACCAGTGTAGCCCCATAAGTGGCTAGTAATCACTGAAGTACCTAATGATCTACTTTTCTTCACAGCCTCCAGCAGTCTTTCAGGAAAAAAGGGACTAGAGAAAACTTATGGCAAAGCTTTGTACCTCACCCAAAACAGCAGATGAGTTCTGGGCAAGAGCTATACAGCAGTGACTTCAACTACTTTCCAGAGCTATTTCAGCTCTGCAGCTGACCTTTCAAGAAAGTAACTTTCTCAGACTCCCCCACAGTATGTCCCTATTCGTGCACCACACCTTCACACTTTTTCCACATCAGGGATCATCTGCAAGCTGTATCTTGTAGAGACACTGAGTTTTTCAGAGACTTACAGAAAAGAATTACAGATTCTGATTACTTGTGATCCAAAAAGTGACCATCAGGCAGATATTATTAAAGTGCTCCACTTCCAGCAACTGGAGTAAAGAAGTTGGTCTTCCTGCATTATTAATGCATGAAGCACATACAAAGGGGTCAAGAGTTGGAGCTGGGTTGTTGTAGCATGTATATTTCCTTCCTCCCCATTTCAGCTCATGGTGTATTTTAGTAACAGAGAGAAAGACAGCCAGCCTTCCAGATTTTTTTAAACATTATCTGAAGCCACTTACTTTAGCAAATGTCCTGTATCCTTCCAGAATAGGTCTGTACCCTGTACACCGACACAAGTTCCCTGCATTGCCAGAGCAAAAAGATAAAGATTCAGTGTCATTTGGCTGAGAACTTATCCTCTTTTAGAACATTTTATTGTTTCTCACAAAAACTTGTCAAATCTAGATAAAGCTAATGAAAAAATGGGAGGAGGACAATTTCATTAGTAATCTTGCAACAATCCTACCATCCCTTTTTGTTAAAATTTTAAATTGAAATTAATTTCGAAAAAATTCAATCTGCCTTATTCAGTATTCATTTACCTCAATTGTGTGAGTCTAATCAGTATACCAACTATCCAGTCTCCTGAATTACAAAGAGGTTGCTTTCTCCTGCATCTGATTTCTTCTCGGGTCACTGCCAGAAGCATGGTAACAACTCTAACCTCAGCAATAACAGCAGCCTCTCAGATGATTTACACAATTGGATTCTGCCCCACTCCATCATGTATATTGCTGTCTTGGTCCTTTACTTGAGGTTGGCTGGCCCAGATGCTCTCCGTCACCTCTGCAGGCTCTGGTGACAAAACAAGGAGATGTGGAGGCTCTTATAAGCCCCCCAGGGACAGGCCACCTTTTGTTCTGCGTTAAGCTTAGTGGGGTCCTAATCCAAGACTGAGGCCACTTGCCCCAGCTTCAGGACAAACAATGAGCTTCTGTGAGATTTTCCACAGGCCTTTTTTGTCCACTTCAAAGCACCTGGCCAGTCTCCCAGTGGAAAAGCTAGTTCTTAACCTCATAACAATCGGCTATCTTTAATGAAATACATTAAACAAAAGTGCACCTCCATCCCATTTGATGAAGCAGATGTAATGAAAGCAGAACAGGTTGCATTTCTGCAGGGCTATAAGTATTACCTTGGAAAGCATCTTCTATGTCCTCCATTTTGGGCTCGGGTTTGTTCCGAAGCAATGTATACATGGACATGACAATGCCTGGAGTGCAAAAGCCACACTGGGACCCATGACTTTTTGCTATTCTCTCCTGAGAAAAAGTAACAACAACCATCAGTTAATAATATCAAGGTGAGTTCATTGTTGTACTTGTTTTTAACATCTTAAAAAAAACCAAAACAATATCTCACCAGAGGAGCTAAAACTATCATCAGATGTTCTCTGATGAGATGGTCAATTAATCTGTGAAGCAGACTTCAAAGAAGAGAACATTCTGAAAAGTTTGCAACTAGGCTTTGAACTCCCAATGTAACTGAAGGCAACTAGAAGCCTCCAATGAGATCAGGAGTTCTTCAGATTTACCATGCTAGAAAGGTTGGGGCTACCTGTATAGACCTGAGTTTGAATTTCAAAGCTTAGCTGTTAGAATCTTCAGAGGAGGCAGGGAAAAGAAGACAAGCAAACAAAGGTCAGGCTAGCTGCCATCCATTCATGCGTCTAACATTTTTCACTTTGTTGTTTACTGTCTCAGATAGATATTGGCACAAGTCCTATCCACTGTACAAAACTGAGATGAATCATCGTTTCCCTTAAAGAAGCAGTATCTCTGACAAAGCTGAGGTAAGACTGCCTCCATAAAAAGTACGTAACACCTTGCTAGAAGAGCAAGGCTTCACATTCCTGTCACTCCTCCCCACCAAGAATATTTTGGGACTCCAGAAACATTGCTGAACCAAACCTTACTGCACCACTGCAGGGAAGGTTCCTAACTATGCAGGACGAGAAACCAAGGTCATTCATGGAAGGCCATAGGAGAGCCAAAACCTAACTCAGATTTCCTGGCTCCAAGTCACTATATGGGTTTTCACCACAACATCAGTCTTCCCAGTTCCTGGGATTTGGATGTGGACCAAGTACAGCCACGTAGCCCTAGAACAAAAGCATTCGCAATTCAGCCAGGACAGCATCAGTTAACTTGTTAGGGCACAACAGAGCTGCAGCATTCACCCGGGAGTTTGATTCTGTCACTTAGTCATTCCTGCAAGTAAAGACTACTCATGTGGAAAGTCAAACTCCCCGCTTTAACATTAGGATGGAGGTCCCAACACCCTGGAACAGGATTAATTAACAGAAGAAGAAAACATGGATAGAGGGTTTTAAAGTTACCAGTATTAATAGCTTACCTGGGCTGGGTGCAGCCTGGATTTTGTGTTTCCTATGCCTTCAACAGTAGTTACAGCTACATGATGCAGGGCACAGACAGGGAAGAGGCAAGCATTGGCAGTGTGGTGGCTAAAATAATAAATTAAGGTCATTTCATTTGACAGTGCTGCTCAAAAAGGAAAAAGGGAACAGGTGGACTGAAGAGTACTCAAACTGTAGCAGTGGACACAGTGGAACTTCAACAGATGCGATACAGGTATTAGTTACAAGCCAAATCCTACAGCACCTACTCAGCCAAAGTTCTCATCAACTTCCCTTTAAGTTTAAACTGAGTATGCACCATAGGATTTGACCTAGAAATAACTTTAAACATCCTCGTTGCATGTTAAGCTACAGAACACATGTAAGTAATTTATAGGGGCAGACTACAAATACCAAGATGTTATAGAGCTAGCCTGGCCCACTCGCAAAGTTACAAAGAGCTCTTGGCCTTTTACCTGGGAAACCTTTTCTAGATGGTCACATGGGGAAAAAAAGTCCAGGCTGAAGGTAAAATAGAATACCTTTGCCAAAATTCTTAAAGGAACTAGCTACTTTATTTCATTTCTATCAAGACAGAATAGTGACCCTAAAGATACCCTATTCAAGGCCACATTCCTAAGCAGAACCACTAAATTAGATGATCCCAAGTTAAAGTATCTCCAAGCATTATTCCAAATATATTCAAGACTTCAGTGCTTTCCATTCCCCACAGTAAAAATAAACTGAGGCCTCTGCCTCATTCTCTCTCTCCATTCCCCTTTTTGTTTGATTCCATTGCTTCACTCTTCAATTAATTAGAGAACAGGAGGAAAGTTTATGTCTCAGGAAATAAGAGTCATTCTGAAGGTTACAATAGAAGTAGAGGAAAAGTTAATATCTGCCAGCATACAGAAACCAGATTATTGTAGTAATACAATAGCAATAAAGATTTTATCACAGTAATCATCATTCGGATCATCACAGCAAAAAATTACATTGCAAGAAAGGAACACAAAGGTTTTCTGAATTGGGAAAAGGCAGATAGCCTGCATGCTAGAGTCAGTGCAGATATTTCAGGGCACAATGAAATAGTTCCCTATCAGCACTGTGCAATGCTGTAGGAAAAAACACCTTCTTGTCTTAGCCTTCTGAGTTTATGTTCTGAAAGTGAAAAATTATGTTTTGGCAGAAACATATATTACATAACTTTTTTTTTAAATAGTACCACGTCTGGAATGTCAAGAACCTGGATCTGTCTCCATTTCATTTCTCTGCTGAAGAGTTCAGACTGCAAAGGATACAGGATTTTCTTCCGAAAGGGATCATACTTGGATATCATAACAGTGCAAGCACCACATCCACCTTCTCCACAGCCTAGTTTGGTACCACATAGGCCCACTGAGAGAACAGGAATCAAGGAAAACACAAACAGTATTGGCAGAAGCCTGCTCAAACAGTTATCAATCAAGGCCTAGCAACAAGTTCTTGCTGGAAACCAAGCACTCGTTTCTTCTGCTTAACTTAATTTAACATAAGCAAAGTTTCAAATGCTGGCATGTGAGCTTTGAGATCAACACCCAAAGCCCTAATAAGGAGGCAGTCCATGTTTCAGTAGACTCTTAGAATAAACAATAAATTTCTGAACTCCAACAGTTCCCACCTTCCATTAGACTCAGAAAAGGAAATGACATATGGGAGACAAAGCGCTCAGTAATTGCTGAGCAGCAGCTGTTCGGGCATGCAGCCACATCCCTGAGACACATGGTGACATCTCTTTCAGCACCTCTCGCCAGTGGTGGTTGACTTCTTCCTACACCTGGTGATTCCTACCACCTAGAAGGCACGCAGGCAGGGCAGTCACGCAGTGCTACAAGTCACACAGTTGAGCACTGGCATGGGAGCTGCACTTGAACTGCTCACAAACTACCTGCATCTCAAGAGTCACGGTCTGGCCACCCTAGCTTCTCTCTTGGCCCCATTTTTGATTACTTTCCCATTGCTAGGGACAGAACCAGCCAAGCACACTCCCCAGTAGCTTGGTTCCCATAAAATCACAGGAGGGAGACACTGAGAGCCAGAACGAGCAGAGATGCACAGAACCACTGCACAGACACTTGGGAACTCACAAGGTGTATGGACTGGCCTAAGAAGATTCCTCCACAGGCTGCAGAGCGCATGGCTGTACTTTACAACCAAGCATTACATCAAATGTTCCGCAAAGGGGTTTCAGGAGACAATTCCTTGGGTCACTTCTGCTTTGGGTTCCTTCACTCATTAGAAGGTAATTAGATGCTGTTATTTATTGTGAAGAGGATTGGCCAATGCTGAGAGACTTTTGGTGAGAAAAGAACAGCTGCTTTCATTGGCAATGGACACATGCCTGTGCTGAGATAATCAGCCTAGGCCTGTGGAAAAGCAACAGGCATCATGATATAGGGAACTCAAATCATCTTTGCCTTCGCTGCAAAGTTTCTGGAACTGACTTTTCATAGAATGATAGAAATCATAGAATCATTGAGGTTGGAAGAGATCGAGTCCAACTGTAAACCTAACACTGCCAAGTCCACCACTAAACCATGTCCCTAAGCACCACGTCTACTTTTCATACAATCATGCGTCTGCTTCAGCAAAAATATAGCTTTCCTATGCCATCCAATGTTTCTCTTGACAACAGTGCTAATCTGCCTCAATGAAACACGTTTCTCAAAGTATTTGTCTGACCCTAACCAGTCATCTACAAAATAAGTTCACCAGAATGTTCATGTAGAAGATCAGAAGGTTTTGAAGAGCTCCGATCATCTCTTTACAAAGCTATTTGCATTAGATATTAACAAGCTTAGACATAAAAGGTCTAGTGGTAAGAAGTGCACACAGGCACAAGAGTCATGCCACTTATTTTTCCTCTTGAACTTTATCTACCCACGGTACACTCAAACAAAATAGGGCTCTTGATAGTTCTACTGGAAACCCCAGGGAGGAGTGTGATTTATATCCCCGTACTCCTTTCAGATCCCAGACAAATAAAACATGGCAGCATTGTGAAATAAGTTTGCATGATTCTTTTTAAGGAATACACCAACACAGATGTGAACAGTTTGGCATATATACACACCCAGCTGGTCAGACAAAAACTCAGAAAACATGGAATGACTCTACCTACTGAACCAGACCTAGTAGAGCCAGCCTGATCATCACAGTAATAGCTGCCCAGCTGCTGAAGCTCATCTGACTCATGTGTTGACCAGTTGCAAACAGGAGTGAAACATGACTGCTTGCATCCGCTCATGTAAACATGCCCGCAGTACATGGTGAGAACCCCTGCCTCTGAGTTTGCATCCCTGGGTCATCTGATAGGCCAAAGGATAATTAAGTTATTGGATATTAACTATCCAAATTATTGGATGATACAGCAAGCAGCTCAAGTGACTGTAATATTTTGGCCAGAAAATCCTTTACAATTTGTGTGGAACAAACCTAAATTTCCTTCAATTTTATTGTCATCTCAATATTGCTTTCAATTCCTAGCAATTCTGTGAGTTTTCCCTTTAAAGTATTAATAAATTATTTAAAGTTTGTTTAAAGTATATTATTTAAAATTTGCTATTGTTTAAGCTTGGAATACCAGCTGTAATCTTTGCCAGCAAGAATTAGCAGACCACGCACAGCACTCCCTCCTATACTCTGTGCACAAGCTCTGCCTAGCACTCAAGTGACAGGCAGAACAGTAAACAATTATGAAATAGTGTAGGCATTTAAAGCCTTCTGCAGTTTCTTCTGACACTGGATACATTTTCTTCGTAGATAGGTTAGCAGAGTTGTTTCTGGGTCCACATCTTTTTCCACCACCTGCAAGAAGGGAAAGGTACTGTTACACACAGAATGCTTTACAATGCAGATACATTAATTGGAAGGAAAAAGTTTGGTCTTTCTGCAACTTCTCTTCCAAACGAGGGAGCAGAACCACTGATTAACTCCCCTTACTAGGTTCAGCAACGTTGCTCACATATCCAGACACAATGTTTCCTTGACTTTATGGTGACAGAGAGAAGTATATGCATTACATACATCAGAGTTTTTCAGCCATGGCACGCTGAGGCAAACCTTAAAAAACCCTTCATCAAAAATGGCAAACAGAATTAGTAGCAAGCTGAGAGAGAAAGAACTGTGTTTTGTACTTGAGTTTTGAATTCCTAACATCTCCCGAAATTGCATCTCATCTTTATTGATGATGCATAACTGACCTCTGTCCCTTCTCCTTCTTACTATTAGAAGAGACAGAAAATGAGCAGATAAACAGAATGACAGAAACAGCATCAGTAATAGACTTTGCAGAGGAAAAAAACCAGAGGAAACCCTAACATGACCAATACAGTTGCTGCAGGACAGAGAGCAAGTACTAATCATCTTGTAGTTTCTCTTTCTTCCCTGCTAACATTAAATCAATCAGTGTTACATTAGTAGCCATCCTATATATGTGAATGTGAAATTCCAACCAAGGAGAAATTTTCTCTGCACGTTTTGAGTCAGCTCCATCCTATTTGTGAACAACACTATTAGCAGTTATCTATTAGACATAAAATTAGATTTTACTTCAACCTCTGCCCGATGGTCAGAAACCAAAGTTCTACCCTTGGCTCCACATGGCCGCAGAGCTTGTCTTCCCCTTTTTCTGTTATTAATAGAGTGTCAGGAAACTTTTCCAAATTCGCTGAGTGCCAGAATGTAATCATGTGTTCTTGGCTCTTACATTCTGCAAGTCCTAAGTACAATGGTTACAGTTTATTTAAATTAAACGCTCCCGGTTTGAAGGGCAAATTGAAACAGAGGTCATTTGTGTAAGACTTTTTTCTTACTGATAAGAAACCTTCACAACCTCTGTACTGCTTCAATTTTATGCCTTTGACATGTGACAGTGTTATTCTAAAGAGCCAATACTTCCTATTTGAGTCCATGTTTTTAGAACTATCCAGTAAAATTGCTGCTACAAAACACAACTGGTCATTTTTTGCACATCTCATTCCTGCACTGGGGATAATCTACAGGGAAACAGGGTTCATTCTTCTAGCTTGGGGATGTCTTACTGTAAACCATGCAGCACTCATTGCTGCTATTCAGAGCAGAGCGCTCCTGTTCCCTCACCTTCTGGATGCATAGAAACAAGTAAGAGCATACAGTGGCGCTCTCATGACCAGTTGATTCAGAGTAGGCACATACATCCCTCTGCAGTAGTTTGGTAAACAGACAGACACGAGCAGGTAATTCCAAGAATGCCTGTGACTATGAGCGTCCCATGGACAAACGGCCTTTCACAGCCATTTCACAGGCAAAGAGCCTTCCCCAGCAACTTATACCCTCACTGTCAAGCTGAGTTTCTTCCTCAGGGCTATGCCAATGGCCATTGCAAACCTTTCCAAAGCAGCTTCCAAGATAGCCAGGCACAGAGAAAGAGCTACAGAATAGTTTTTCAGATGGTTAAAGACTATTGAGATTATTCTATGCTTAGGTCAAAAAAAATATCTCAGGAAGTTTTCCTGAAAGAATCCAAGAAGCACTCCATTATGTACTCAAAGCAAGCAATTAAAAGTTTGGCCCAATGGCTTCTTTTCAGGAAGCAAGAAATAAAACACAGGCCAAGCCTTCCTTCATCAAAGCATTTAGCCACTCGGCTCCACACACTTTTAGTGAAGTACTTAAGCATGTGTTAAGTCCCAAAGTCAAACCTTTGCTCAACTTTATCAGAAAGCGGCTCCCACTATGCGGTAGAACATGTCCTGAATAACCCACACTCATCCTGTTCAAACCAATAGCCCAGGATTCCTACTTCAGTCACTTCAAACTACTCCACTGTAGCTGTATATCTGCAATGCTGGCAGAGACTTGGGATCAGAGGGAGATAAGGGGTAAGAGTTTGGAGGACAATGCTGGATTAAGCCAAGTCTCACACGTCAGAGAGCAAGGAGTCAGTTCTTTGTACTCAGATTCCTGGTGAGGGGATGCTTGTTCATGAGTCTCTCTTGCTGGCTACAGAGTAAGAACTCTTTACTGTTCCTGCCGTTTATTCATTGTCATTGATGCTGGTTTTGTCCTCCAACATATCATTCCTCCAGTGGTTTGTTACAATCACCTGCTGTGATTTGTTCTTAAAATATTTTAAAACCCTGTGGGTGGGGATAACATCTTCTCTTGTCTGATGCCCAAAACAATATGATTCACAGCTCAATATCTTACCCATCAAAACAATTCTTGCTCACCTCCCCCAGTGTCCTTGTACAGAAGGAAACTGAATTATATCCATTGCCTTCAGTGGGAGTAGGATCAACCTACTTAGATATTGCAACTAAAGAAATATTACTTTTTTGCTCAGTTACTGGTTTTTAGGTTTTTTTAAACCAAATGTCATATTGTCAGATACATCAGATTGATGGCTACATTTTGACAGATTTTACTGCATGTGGTAGCTTAAATATTAATCAAATGCAGAAAGAAACCTTGCAGGAAATATTAGGGGGATACTGACAGTCAAATGACTCCCAACAAATTTGCTCTGTACTGCTGTGTTTGTACTACACATCTATTTGTCTACTGATTCTAGGAATCTTAAATACTCAGATCACCTCAGCAGGGAGCCCAGCCTGGCCCTACAGTTCTTCAAGCTTTAAGTACTACACAGAACAAGTTCCTAAGCAGTACTCTACACTCTTAAAGTGCATGGGCTGGTCCAGAGAGGTGTTGAGCTCACTTCCCCATGATTTCATGTACAAAACTTGGATCTCAATAAATATTTTGTTTGCTGTCTTTGCTACCTGCCTTTCACTAACTCAGATAACTTTGCCTTTACAACATAAAGCATCATATTTAAATTAGTATTCCCAGAAAATTAAAGAAAGGATTTTTCAATTTAAAAGAACAGTAGTTGAGCAAGGTAAATAGAAGAACAAAAAGGAAAAGAAAACAGAAACTTTCCTAGTTTACCAAACAACATGCTAAGCTTTCCATCAGCTAGGGTCTTTAAATGAGAAAGAGATGCTTTTCTGAATGACAAGTTCCCATTCACAATCACTAGTCCCCCCTAGACACTCAATTAGTTGCAAGAAGAGAAGGCAAAAGGTTTTAACCAGACTGCCATGCAGCAAGCCAGACTAGTCAACTGTAAAGGTCCCCTAGGACCTTAAAAATCTGTGAATGTGTATTCCCGAAGTCAATGAGAGACTTCAAATTCATTTACCAGGGAAAAGGATTAGAACACAGATGAACAAACCGAATATAACCACACAATGTAAATCTGTTATTGGTCGTGAGAACATTTTGTTCTGCTTTAAACCAGCACACTGAAAACTTTAGTTTACTGTTATGTAGGACCCAGAGCGTCCCAAAGCTCAAAGAAATCCTGTATTTTGGCTGGTCCCATCTGCAATCAAACATCCACAGGCTTTGGAAGAGGTCTAATGTGGCTTCCAGCATAGAACCCCTCTTAACATTCAGGACAGAAATAGAAATATTGATTCCACGTGTTTGAACTAAAATTACTTGCTACATATGCATGAGACAGACTTGTCAGCTGAGGAAAACAAAATTGCCACTATTAGCTTTAAATTGCATGTGTTGTTTTCCATTCTAGTCTAGGCAGACTATCAAGATAACTTTGTGTTAGTTGTGTGCCAAGCTTTATGCCCAGTGAAGTAAACAGGTGCTTAAAATAAACAATCCTGAATGTGAAATATGCTCAGCTGTTCTGAGGAGACTTTTTCTTGACAACATTGCAGACTGGGCTAATGCAAGAGATTTGCTGCCATGAAAGTCCCTATCTTATCAACCACCTCTTATCATGCAGTTTTGTGCTATGACAGAATATCAGCAGCCCATTAACAATGTCAAGCTGTCACGAATTCACACAGCAGTAACCTTTCCCACTGGCCATGCTACCCTTCCACATTCTTTGCAGCGAATTAACTGGAATATTTAGTCAGGACTCCAGATGGATGGAGCCATATCTAACTTGCTACCTGCTGTTTCATCAGCATTGCCGAGGCACTTCCCAACACCCTTTCCATCACATAACCTCTCATGTGCAGAAATGTCCCAACAAACTCCACATTTGTTGCCCCAGATCGGATTACCCCATGAGTCCAACTCTCTCTCTTAAACCTGCATTTGGTGGGGGTGTAACTCAAGCCACTTTGGCAGCACACCCAAAAAGGGAAGAAAAAACAAAAGTGAGGCTCTGGGTAGAGCACAAGCCAGGAAGCCCTCTCCTCTCTGATCAAGTGGAACCTACTCCTTTGCTAGCACTGCCGGTTGCATGAGCCAGCAAGGAAGGATGCTGAGACAGCCTTGACACATGGAATGAGTTGATACCACTGGTAGTATTAATGGTTCCCTGGTGGGTTTTTTTTTTTAGCCAATAACTGCCAAGATCACACTGTGATAAACCTCTTTACGCATGCACAAGGTCAGCCCCGAGATGTCCCTTCCAACCCAAACTATTCTATGACTCTATGCAGCTTTTGTAAACAGGAACTACAGTTCCATAAAAACTGCTGAAATGCACCAAGGGCAACGCCATTCACAGCATGTTCGTTAGCTCCAGGACATAGCAAGAACAGACAGCAGATACAAAATGGAACCGGTTGTCTTCTGCTGCTAGCCTTCAGGGTCTAGGCTGCTCTTTCTCCCCTTCTCTGCCTCACTCCACGTGCATAAAAGGGAGTCCCACAGAACCAGTTCTGTGCAGCTCAGTCTCTTCTCTTTTACTTTGACTAATACACACTTTTGCATGTTAGCCAAGAGTCTCTTCCAGGAAGAAGGGCTTTTCTACCAATTTACACAGAGCAGTGCTCCTGTAATACCTGAGCACCAACTAACACTGAAGCACCAGCTGCAAATGTATATAGGAATTTGTTTATAAACTCTTCATACCTACCATGAGTAGCATATTGGTTTTGAACCTTAGCTGGTCTGGCACCAGTACTACAATTCTCTTTCATTAGACCAGACCAGAAAAAGAAAACAAGACAATACACTTGGCCTGTATCAGGGTCTGGATTGCCCAACATGTTTGTGGCAACCTTCTACTGCAAGACTCAAAAAGCTCCCAGTTCACCCTCTAAAAATTGGGGTTCACAGAGGAGGGGTCTGAAGTCTCTAAAACCTTCATAGAGCAAGACAACAACAAGTTAATGGTATACCACCTGGGCCCATCACAGCAGAAAATTCATCAGATGAAATTCACAGATCATCCTGTGCCACTGCTTCACAATCTCGACTACCAGACTCAATTAGCTAGTCATGATTAACTTGGAGCTTCAAGTTTTCACATCCTTCTAGAAACAATGAATGGCTGATATGTCAATTAACGTTGACATATGAACCATTACTGATCTGTGCGAGCAAAACTTCAGTTGTCATCCTTCTTTATAAAACCTCAGAACCAGGGCTGGGTTCTGTATCAGTATTACATTCAAGAGCTCTTTGACTAACTTATAACCCATACTAGATAAACTTCATTCTTCACCTAACTATCACTACTTAGATAAAACAAAACTTTGATATCAAATGCTCTAGTACCTTGGAAAGTGCAAATTCCAATCCAGTTTGGGATCCAAATTCATAACTAAAACACCATAATTGCAGCAACAATCTTATCCACATTTATACTTGATTAAATTAGCACAAAAGATCAACAAAAGCAAAACTGATATTAATCCTATGCCAGTCTGTAGGGCAGGGCACAGAGCTTTTTAACCAACTAAGAACATTGTGCGATCCCTCAAGGGATTAAAAAATTAATTCTCTAGCCCAAACTTAGTGCTGCGTGTGATTTACCCCTAAGCAGTGCACAGGGAAGGTCCGCAAACTCTCAGCTCCCCAGTACACAGTGGATATGCAACCCTCTCCCCTCCCCAAGTTTCCCAGCTGGAAGCTGCTTTGGCACAAGTTTCCCTGCCCAAGTATCTAGGCAAGGGGAAGGTGGCGGGGCAAGATTAGCACTGAGCTGAGCTCAAACAGAACTAACTTGGTACTCACAGTTCAAAAAAAGAGGCAGCCTTGACTTGTTTAAGCTTTTGAAGAGTCAAGGCTGCAATGCTAGCCAGGGGAAGTCCAAACTGAGAAAGGGGGCTCTGGGACAAACTGTTCAAAGTTGCCCAGCGTGTGCAAGGACCAGCCCACCCTCCTGTGAGACACAGTCACTTCTCAGGTAATTGTCAGCAGTTGATCTAGGAAATAGTATCAGTTAATGGGCTTTGATTTTAAAGAGTTTTCTAGCTTCTTAAATGGAAACAGAATGAACTTTTTACTTAAATCCCTTTTAAAAATCAAATGTCAGAATTACTTACTGAACGTATGAATTATATATGGATGCTTACATTTGAGTTACATTTCCAGATCTGTTGTAATTACTGAAATTATTTCTAGTAGAAATGCCTGTATTAAGTCAGCGCACATTTATTTAAAAGTAGGTACCTCAGAATTGCAGTAAATTATTGCCAACAAATCTAAAATGTAAACATTATATAGTTGTGCTACTCTGACTTTACCTTGTGAATTATTCAAAGAAGAGAAAAAGCCATTTAGCAAAGCAATAAATAGTCTTCACAATTTAATATTTAAAAGTCATGGCAATTGTGCTGGTATTAGAAAACTTCAGAGGAAGAAAAAGATGACTAGAAGAGTAAGTAATCAAGCCACAATCCAGGAGCAAGCTGGACAGAAAGCTGGAATCTTCCTTACCTTTTTACCATTCACAAAGAAAACAAGTTCATCCCCTGTCTCGTTTGGAGCCATCCTGCACACCTGCCAAAATTCACTCAAACAGGGCCACAGATCACCCTTCTGAAAGCAGCCCTACACCCCACAGCAAAGTGAGCACCAGCGATACGACAAGTAATACGAGTCTGCCTCAAGAATGTTTGACTTGATTTCTACATCAGTGCCCTGTGAAACCCCATATTATATAAGAGCCAACGAAGAGGCGTGCCAGCTGCATTTGGTTGGTGCTTCTGCAGCAGTAATGACAGAAAAGGAGCTGGAACAAGCAGAGTGACCCGCCCCCTGTTATATAGCAATAGATCACAATTCAACTGCATTCCCTTTAGATTATACTGCCAGGTTTGGGGCACTCAGAGTGTGCCACTGCAACGGCTGGCAGGAATTCACTGTATTTTGCAATACAACGCAAACTCCAGGGGAGGGGGGGGCGTTCTCCCAACTATCTCTCACCGAATATTGACAAGAAAAAGCCGTTTTCCCTGCTCTGTGCATAGCCGTGCACCTGGCATTCACCATGCAGAGGTCTGTCATGAGAGCACCTGCTTATTTAAAAGCTCCTCGATACATGCACATCAGCTAGTAGACTGACTGCAGGACTATTTCAGTATTTTCCCTTAGAGTTTTAAAGCTACAGTGTCCTCCACCTGTGAGGACATAATTTAAACAGATATGTATTTGTCCAGATAAAAGCCATTCTGGTGAACTGAAACTGATCCAGCACCTCAAAAGAGGTGCTGAGCTAAGACTGTAATGTTTTCACTGGGCTCTTAAAGCTTTTGGACTTACCTTTTTTGGCTTAATCCTCACATCCTGGATCTTAGGTGTACGTTGCTAATGAAACACAAAAGAAAGCAATTCTTTGAAGAATTTTTTGTCTTCCATTTCCTTGGTGGTGGTTTCTTCTGGTTTCTCCATTACACAACCGTACATTTCGCATTGTTTACGTCTTCCTGTTTTTTCTTCCAAAGTTGTCGCAGAACTGTCCACAGACCCCTAGATACGACATGCATTGGTTTCATGAACAAAATATCTAAATCCCTAGTTCCAGTTTAAAATTCCTCCACAAAACAGCAGGATTCCAAAGTCTCATGGAAGTTTCCTAGCACTGTAGTTAATCCTGCCGGCTCCATTCTGATTTTTGTAACTTTGCTTTCCTTCTTCAGCATACCAGGCTTATTAGTTTCAGTTAGGTTTTTTAATTTTCTTAAAATCCCTGGGAAAGCACTACATCAGTGTCCCTCCCAGGAACCTCTCTGAACAATTCACAAAACAACAAAACCTAATTAAATCACCATTTTCAGAAACAGGCTTTCCTCCAGTATTTTGGAAATATGTCAGAGTGAATACAATACATACATTATTTTTACCAGCTTTTATCTTCTGACTTGTATTCTATTGCCCAGCCTATCCCCTAGAAAAGCTATTTTATAACAAGTGTCAAATATTGTATCAGCACTTCTTTACAGGCATTCAGTTTGCTGAAAGTATAGTTCACAGCAAACTTGTAGATTAAGGCAGCTGGTGTTAACCACATTTGCAGTGAAGTTGTGCATAGCTGAACCAGTACTGACACCTATTGTCTGGCACCTCCCACTTTGCAGTATAGGAGTATTAGAAAAATGACACTTTTCTCCAAGAAATCTTCAGGTCTGTTGCTTTGTATCTATGTGCAAATTTACACAAGCGCTACCCTCACGTAGCAAGCATCAATCTCTAAATTAGTGTACACAAGCTTAGTACTCATAAATAGTTTTGTAATATTTTAAATAACAATTATTACTCATAACCACAGGTAGCATGTTACAACAATCTCAAAGCAACTAGCTATTACAGCATTAACACCAAAATCAAACATGCTTAGCTTCTTAATCTGTGTTTTCCATTAAGGCACGATGTTGTTCTTAGGTTTAAAGAACACTTGTGATCACGTCATCTCATGTTTAAGGAATCCCATGTGCAAATTTTTGCCTAGCCTTGGTGACAGCCTTATAGCTAAACTATCCCTTTCTGCTAAACCAGTGAACAGCATCTTATGATATTCCATCATAATGTTTATTTTTGATCCGTCAATCTACTATATATGTAATATAAAAATAAACATATCCACGGTAGTAACCTCTATATGTAGATTACACAGTAATGTAAAACTTCAGACCTAATCTCAACAGTGTCACTGATCACACAATACCGAATTCATTCCTTCTCTCACCACCCTGATGGGATAGTCTATTACTATACCCATTTCACATGCAAAGAACCAAGACACCTAGGACAGAAATTTTCCAAATCCTCTAAACTCTGGAGCATGAGAGCTTATGCTATTGAAGTCTCTTAATCATTTTTGGAAATCCCACCCTAAACAGAACAGAGGATTACCAGAAATGACAGAGAAGAAAGTGAGGAGGGGGGCCGGGAACCAAACCCTCAGTAAACTCCTAGAACATAAGATGATCTCCATTAGCATATACTCCCTTAAGTGAGCTAAAAATAAAAACTTGTCAATCAACACAAATTGGTTATGAGACAAGGTGTTCTGATTTACCAGTCAGTTACAGTCTAGCAGATTTCCCATTTTAGAAATCATCCCTTCGCCCATTCATAACTCAGAGATGGGTACGTTTTAGAAGTTCAAAATCACGTGCAGTCTCACTTACTTATTAAAAAGCTCAGAAAGCAATTGATATTAGTCAAGAATAAAAAAAAGCAGCTGGCTTTTCTCATTCTGACTGGTTAATCCTGCAGATCTGGCTGTTGCAATCATAATGATAATCTGCAGATGATCATATCCATAGCTCAATACAGTGAAATTTACGGAAACACCATTCCTGCCTAAGGAATTTACCACCAGAATTAGGTAAATGCATGAAAGTACAACAACAAACCAATGCCAGAGGTAATAAAGGAAAAGGTTTAAAACAAAGGTGAGAAGGTTTGTTGCTTTGTTCTCATGTTCCTACTGCAGGGATCATAGAATAGTTTGGGTTGGAAGGGACCTCTAAAGGCCATCTAGTCCAACCCCCCTGCCGTGGGCAGGGACATCTTCATCTAGATCAGGTTGCTCAGAGCCCCGGCCAACCTGACCTTGAATGTTTCCAGGGATGGGGCATCCACCACCTCTCTGGGCAACCTGTGCCAGTGCTTCACCACCCTCAGCATCAAAAATGTCTTCCTTGTATCTAGTCTTATCGAGTGCACCCTCAGTAAGTTTGCAGACGACACCAAGTTGGGCGGCAGTGTTGATCTGCTCGAGGGTAGGAAGGCTCTGCAGAGGGACCTGGACAGGCTGGATCGATGGGCCGAGGCCAACTGTATGAGATTCAACAAGGCCAAGTGCCGGGTCCTGCACTTCGGCCACAACAACCCCATGCAGCGCTACAGGCTTGGGGAAGAGTGGCTGGAAAGCTGCCTGGCGGAAAAGGACCTGGGGGTGCTGGTCGACAGCCGGCTGATCATGAGCCGGCAGTGTGCCCAGGCGGCCAAGAAGGCCAACGGCATCCTGGCCTGTATCAGAAATAGTGTGGCCAGCAGGAG